CGTCAAAAAAATAAAAATAAAAAACATAATGAATCGAGAAAAAACATCGTCTAAGCGTTTTATCGCTTGTACAGCTGCATAGTCATTTAACCGCTGGCGTACATATCGGACGACGGGCAGGGAAAAAAATCGAGATAATATCCGGCGTAAGATTTATGAAGTATCGACGGCGGTAGTGTCGATGATACACCTGGGTGGGGAATTCGCGGGCGGGCGGTGCAGATGAGCGACAAACAATAAGTCGACCGTATCGGATAAAATGTCTTTGCGGGACCGATGACGTTAGAGTCGCGAACGATACCGCGGTGACAGATGACTGATGCTGCCAAGAGGTTACTAATGGTCAATACGCACGCGTATTTACGTGCAAAAAAAAAAAAATAAATGAGTCGAAAAGACGAAAAGAGACCCCTTCCGGGGATATATTATTATACAGGGCGATTGTTACGGCGGGGATAAAAATAAAGCCTGAACATAGGAAGATAAGTAGCCTTATTTAATTTATATCATTCTACGCAAAAGAAGTTGATAAATTATTGCTACCATAAACGAGTCCGAGTGAAAATTGGTTAAATATAATATGTTTGGAAATTCCACAATTTTCGTGCAAATTGACGATTAAACATTTATAAAACATTACGAGTATATTACATTTCACTATTAATAGGTACATACAGTTTAATTTTAACCACATAAAACTAAATGAAAATTAAAAAAACTAGACAATCTCAAATGGTTCTAAACAGCTTAATCACCAGAATAATTTGAAAACAGTATCATGTCTTGAAGTATTCCAGTGAAAATTCCAGATTTTTACAACTAGATAACATTTGCTACTAGAAACCATTCCTTTTGGTTGGATGAGTAAGATTTCTGATAATAAAGTTGTTAATAGTCACAAAAAAAGTTGTTCGTCATAGTAAAACCAAGCACCGTTCAGTATCAGAAGAAAGTTATTAGGAAAAAATATTCAACATGGCTTTTTTGAATATTAAGCCTAAATTTTTCCGTTTTTATCCAGTTTTTTCGAGTAAATTTGGATATTATGTTTATTGAAACGGACCATATAGCGCAATTATCTGCGTTTAGATTTTCAGTATAAATTTAATTTTGCAGTTTTTCCTTCAAACATTAATGTAAAAAAGAAAGCGCCGTCCGTCCACGCCCAGTACATTACCCTAGTCAACACATTGGTGCTAACGTTTTATGTTCATAGGATAGTGTCCACACATTTAAGCTAACATTCAATTTCCTATCTAAAGGCCAACGTACACAAGTCAACACTCAATAATGATAGTAGTATCAATCCAGTGGCCAGATTCAACTAAAGTAAATAAGACAACATTATCCCCAGCTCCTTTGAGGTTTCATCAAAAAAAAAAAGAACTAACTGATAAGTTCCAATATTGGTTTTAATGCTATTTTGACGATTCACTTATAAGAAGAACATTTTCTAGCTCCGAAATTGGCGTCAATGTGTGGATCCAGCGTTGAGGTGTTGTCTGTTATAATATAAAATGTTGACGAAGGAAAAAAGCTCAAAATGTATCAACCCAACAAATATTCAAATAATTAACTATCAACTAACGTAGTTACAAGTTATCAACACGTTACACAGTATGACGTGTTCCATTAATTTTGTATACCATTGTCGTATTATCACAAGCATTTTTTTTTTTTTTTTGTACATTATCGTAAAAATATAAACTAAGTATATTATAACTATACTGCGTATCAAAATGTTTAGATAAATATTATCTTTTTTTCAAATCAGAGAGTTTAAAAAAGCGGTTTGCTATTTTTGAAAATCGAAGTTATTCTGACTGACTTCTTAATTAAACCAAATCTGTTAAGAGAACACATTTGTTTTATTAAATCCGTCAGATCCGTCTTACAAACGTATAACTTGGCAAATTTGCGTTCAGCAGCACCGATTTCGGACGGTTAATTTTAATATTACAGTGAATCGGCCTTATTATCAAACTCATAAAAGGATGAATATTAACTGCGTTTTTACGTTATAAGCGAGATATGAGTGTTTGAAATATCAGGATTAAAAAACATTCTTATACTGCAGTCTAAAATATCGTTAACACTAACTTGGGTACAAACACAAATAGTGTTCTTACCTTTAAATTTGACTCTATCTACCGTTAAAACTAAAAGCACAAAATCGGTTCTGTTATAAGACGGAAACAACAAACGAATGTGTGTGGCGTCCTCTCGATAACCGATAATTTCTGGCGGTTCGTGATAAAATCACCGCTCAATATACGCCTGCCGAAAACTCGACGGTCTAGTTGTATTTATTGCGCACGCAATACTCATTCGACATAAAATTAAAGTACCGCGCAAACGGGAGTTTAAAGACATGTTGTGGCGCCCGCAGATAAAAATATTCGGTATACGTAAAATATATTGTACAGGTAGTATTCAAATGCGAGAAAAACACCGCAAGAAGAACCGATAAATCATCGTCGTTCGCAAGATAATGGCATTATCATCAAGATAACATACGATATTGTTGTGTTGCAATAATGTTGTAAATATGTTTATATATATATATATATTGAATATGTGCGCGCGAGTACCGTCGTAAACGAGAGGTATGCAAAATATCGTGAATTTCGGCAAAGTTACAACGAGACATTGTAACTCGCGTACGCGATTAACAGCAAACCCAATCGCATAACGTGATAATAATAATGTATTATGCGCTCGATCGTATAAATAATAATTACGTATTGGCGTATAAGTAGTATTTTATATACATATCGAGAATATATTATTTTTTATACACTAGCGTGGGTACCCACGTTTAAAACGTGTTCCGCGCGCGCGGTTGTAATATGTAACGGGGCCACCGCCGAATAACCAAAGTTTATTACGGCGGTAAAACTTACGTTTTCATACGTGTTTTTTTATTTTATTTTTTTTTTCACCCCGGTGATATATTATTATTACACGCGATAAAAAAAAAAATGTACATATATATACACACACAATATACGTTATATTATATATTAAGAAGTACCTAATTTAGTTTTCAACAAAACACACCGCGATAATATAATGAAAAAAAATAAAATAAAATAAAATAAAAAATAGTTTAAGCTTCGGAATAAAAAAAAAAACGTTATCCGCTGCAGTCCGTAAATCAGACTACTGACATCACGCCGTAAAAATGTATACGAATAATATAGGTTAATAAAATATGTATTATATTTAATACGGTTCTTTCTAGCGTGTACATCGTGATTTTTTTCAAACATTTACTAATCATATTTTCGTGATTGTGGGGATCGGTAAAGATGTATACTTTAGTCGATTTGGACGTTAAATTCAGACTGAACTGTAGAAATCATGTTTGACGGATTTGAAATTTGGAAACAGATTATGATTCTTTGGGTTTTTTACTAGGATTCATCAAAAATATAAATTTAACTATTTTAATCACAACCAAATTTTTGTTGTATTATTGAAGTTATCAATATGTACTTTTATTGTTTTGCCTTTTACTTATGATATGACCAAGATAATTAACATTTAAAAAAAAATCCTGAGGTACCCTTAAACCTTAGTCAACAACCTAAAGAATTATAATGCGTTTTCGAAATTCTAATCCGCCAAACCAAATTTTGTCTAAAATATCATATTCGTCCATAAAAACGACCGAGCCCCTTCTTTTTAAATGGATATCGAGCATTAAAGGTTTGGAATAATCATAATTAAAATGTTACATTTTAAAATTTTTACATGCAAATAAAATTATTCGGTAAATTTGTCCGACGCTGTGTATGTATTCAAGTCAAAATTTGAATAAATAGTTAAGGAATTTATGCTGCATTCACAGTCTGATGAAATGGTATAAAATATATCGCCGTGTTTTTTTCAATATATTTCTTGTACATGGACTCAACTTGGTAGACTCAAAAACTACTCGACCGATTTCACTGAAAATATCACGGTCTGGGAAATTAAACCCCTATATTGGAGCTCGAATAGGAAATTTATCCTTAATATACGAAAATTACACTATTTTTTTTTCTTGTGGTTACTTCTTCTTTTCTTCTTATTTCCATTGGTAACACTAGAAAAAAATTATTTTTGTTATAATCGATTGTTTTTTATTAAGAGAGAGGTTTTATTTTTTTTCTATTTTTTCCCCGTTCAATACTGTGCATAAATCTAACTACATAATATATACTATATGTTAAAGAAATATTTTTTTTTTCCATTAAAAAACCTACAATTTTTCTATAAATCCATTATTTAAGTATGAAAACGGCGTGTGCTTAAAAAATCAACCAGTATGCTACTATTATATTTTGTAAGCGCGTGTGGTTTTAACGTACCCCGACATAGTTTTTATAATAACCATCGCGAAGCGTCAGCTTTTTTATTTCCACAGCACAGCAGTTGTTTTATTGTTAACAAAATTAAAACTCTGCAGTTTTAAGTATAAAAACTGTCTATTAAAAAATGTGTTACTTTCATCGTAATATGTCGTCTTACGAGTATTTTACATTAATTCTAGTATTGTTAAATCATTCTATTTCTCAGCTATATTTTCTGGAACGATAGTTTATAAACTGTATGCCGATCTTGATTTCCCCTCCTGCGATTTCGGCACTTATAGCCAAGGGTGCGTGAAACTGTGCATCTAAAAATATTAAAAATATCAATAGTATTTAAAAATAAACTGTTTTATGTCAAAATATGTAAAAATATAAACTTTGAAAAAATGAAATATTATAAACTATACCTATAATAATAATAACTACTATCAATAAAAAATATTTTGGTAAAATCACTTCTAAATATTAATATAATTTTGCAATAAGAAATACAAAAAAATTATGCAAATAAAGAGCTGCAGAAAAAAACGATCATAGTCAATCTAAATAATCTCTTGATTTATAGTTATTATTGAAACGTGTCAGCGACGTTAATATTTATTTTTATTAATTTTTTCTCTCCCGTTTTCGGGGTGTTTGTTTTGTAGAATGTTCGATCGAATCACCGTCGCAGAGTGGCAACCTCAACTACTGGGAACAGCCGTTTTCGCAGCCGTATTTCGACAACGCCACCAGACGCGACGTGACCGCGACCCTGGGCCAGATGACGTACTTGCACTGTAGGGTCCGAAATCTCGGCGACCGATCGGTAAGTCCTCTGTCAGGCTCTCCTCGTTGCCACTTTTACCGGTAGGTACGTAATAGTATTTCGGTCATTTTCGCCGAGGGATTATTGTGTAATACAAGTCGTCGTCAAGTGCTCGGCGGCGCCGATGCTGTTGATATCGATTAAACATTAATCTATGGCCGGCTCACTTTTAAACTTTGTCGGAAAACTTTTCGACACGTCCGCGGACAAATTGATCGTGTCGCCACCGCCTCCGCCTTAATTGATCGAGTAAACGACTAAGACTATACGAAAACAACGACAATGACGGTCGGGTTGCGTATTTGTAGACCCTAATAATCTCCAAGTTCGGCCCGAGATTGCTTGGGTCTATGCGAACCAATACCTATGTAAATACGCAACCCGTGGTGATTTTTTATCTACTATGACATGATACTATAGGTTTTATGTTTGCACTTAGGCCACTGACTTCCTTGGATCATTACCTTCGGGTTTGGTCCAACAGGTATAGGTTGTATATTATATAAAACTCCTAAATCAACTATAGTTAGGTTACGTTTTGCTTGTACCAAACTCAGATAGAATCTGTATTTTTTCGGTCCGGGTTATGTCCGGAGGAAATAGAACCTGTAAAACGGAGTCGAAATAATAAAAACGCTCGTCCTGCAAGAACATTTGCAGTAGATACCTGAAAATTACACGAAATTATAATAATCGTAAAACGCAGAGCGGCTTTTTCTTAGGTTTTCTTTTCTACGGCGCAGTAACGAGAATAAGGGAAATACAAACGGCTGTAATATTATTGCAGCAGTAAGGTAAGTGCCTATAAATTATATCGGTGATACTGCAAGCAGGCGGCGCGTTTGAAATGCGGGCAAACTGGAGACCCGAGTTAATTCGACAAAGAGCTGCCCGCGGTTTACATAATCGAGTGGTGTTTATAATAATAAAGCGATTATAATTTCAACGATTGCGAAATCCCGCGGTTAATTAATATCGGACGATACAAAACCATATTTTAATTCTACTCCGATTCTTGTTCTCCTTATCTTCCTAAAACCTATCATAATATTTTTTTCATTGGCTCCACATATGTCCTCGTATTTTCAAAACATAAATATTATTCTGTTTCAAAATTCATATTAAAACATAGTGACATAATAATTGGTAGTGTTTTATTTATGACCAGTTTCAATGATAAATATCATCGTTATAGGCAATAACAATAAAACCTTCATATTTTCATGATAATTATAATTTTGATTGTTTTAATGCACATATTTTTTTAATTTTCAGCGTATAATGCTGAAAAACAGCTTTTTTTCCCGTATTAACTTTTCTAACAGAAATCCTACACCGTTCATCAACATCAGAATTTTAGTTTCTGGCTACAAATTTTGTCTAGCTGATACATTAGGAGGTTATTTTAGATTATTTTTAGACTTTTTTTCATTAGAAACGGTTTATCGTTGCTTACAGATATACATGAAATCATCTATAACAGTGGCTGCATCTAAACCCATTATCCTAAGATGACTTTTTTTATTAGTCTTGTAGTTTTCTTAATAGTTAAGAAAACTTCGTATAAAAGTAGGGAAATCGAGAAAATTTTAACCACTTGTAACGAAAAAGCTGAAATCTTTAATGATTTCGATTTCAGCCGATCAAAACATATTTAACCGAATTTCGCTCAGAATTACCTTTCATTTTCATTAATTTATCGTTGCATTCGACATAAAATCAAATATTAAATTATCCAAAATATCATACCTTTTCGATTTATCACATATAAACAGTGTGAAATATTTTACAATATTTCTTAAAAATATTAATGATTTTGTCCGTATCTCTCCATCCGGTCATCCGAATGCGCTCTAACTCTTTCAAACGAGAGAGTTATACATTTTATAATGCTGATTCACTAAACAATTCGATTAGCTACAAAGAAGGTCCCCGTCGATTTTCAGCTTAATCGGTCTAAAATAAAAAGTTCCGAAAGAGTATTGTATTATACTACTCATGTACCTATAACTAATGTTATATGTTTATAAGAAAAAAAGATTATGGCTTAACAAATGTTCAAAACAACACAATATTGCAAGTATTTCTGTAAAAATATAAATGGGGTAAGACAAAATGCATTCTTGACAGTTTATATACAAATACGACTGGAGTTGTTTAACTCGTTGGAACGTTATTTCGGTACTTCCGTTTGTATCGGTTTAGTTTTAATGCAAGCCACTTTATTATGACGGTTTTTTTTTCTACACAACTTATCGTAAAATCAAAACGTTTCAAAAGAGCGTCTTATTGGCAGGATATTAAAAGTTCAACAATTCAATTAAAATAACTAATACTTTCGAAAGAATAAATACATTTGTGTAGTTCCTATTCATTCTGAAAATAATAATAAAATATATACAAAAAAAAAGAAAACAAGAAAAAAACACTTTTTTTTAAAAATGTTTTTTTACAATCCCATCATCTAGTACTTTAGTATTTGTATTTGTATCTGTATTTGTTTCGGGGTTATGATTATATTATATACATATATTAATTTTTTTTTTTTTTTTAATGCGACGGTTAAATTATAAGGACGCTCCCCCGACGTGGCGCCGCGCTTAAATAGACTATTGTGTTTTTTGACATTGCACGTAGGTACATATTATTATCGGGTATGTAGCCAGCATAGGTGTATCGAATTAAAACTTTCGCGAGTTTTTAACTTTGCAAATATGTTTTAAAATCGTTATACTAGTTTAAAGTGGATTATGTATACCGCGAAAGGTTACAATATAAACAAGCGAAGGATCCAATTTTCAACCGGCGGCGGATCGTAAACCATATACGCGCGTATATAACCGTTTAAAGTTTAATAGCGATCTCTGAACGGCGGTGTTTTTGGAAACAAACTTACGGTATATACCGTGTACAGTAATTATTCCGTCGTTTTCCCGTTCGACCTAATTCAGCCGACGGCGTACGTACACATATACCTAACTATTAGAAAAGGTCGTGTTTTTTTTGTTTTTTTTTTTTTTGTTTTTTTTATTCAGTTTGTCTAATACTTCGGGCATCGGCCGTTAAACATTATTTTACGACCCACACAATTTCGACGAGAAAATATATTTATCATATATATATATATAAGGTGTAGCGGCAATTTTATTTCCCGCCATTAAAATCGTATTCGTTTATTTAGGAACGACACGCATCGCACAAAATATATACAGGATGTACGTGGTAATCAGAAAAAAAATACCTAAGAAAAACGAGCAAACATTTTAAATCGATGTTTGTGTATATGTATCGTTTACATCAGTGGTATCAAAGTATGTTGCTAAAACAACAGCCTCATCACATATTATACTTTGCCAATAATTCATGCCTGCGCGTTTATGTCAGTAATAAGTAAAAAAATCGAATAACTCTTAACTGTAATATCTTACTCTACTACAGGTGTCCAAAATTTACTTTACTGTTTGTTCATTTAGACACAGGCCACTCCCATAAAAAACATTCTGTAATCGCAGCACCTAAGTATAATATTCCTTAGTGTGCAGATTTTTCAACATGAAACCGGCGTATTTCAATATCAGAGATATTATTTCATTTTTTGTGTATAAAGTGAACATAGTTAAAATTTCGTCAAATCAATTATTTAATTTCAACATACTGATAACTTTGCCAATTTTATAATTAGAAAAAAACTTTTTATATAAAAATTGTTTTAAATAAAATACTCTACCCGAATCTTTAGGAAAATATTGTGTTGTTGTTTAAAAAAAAAATATATGTTTTATTGTTGTATTGCACATGCGCGTACCGAAAGGGTTAATTTAACATTTAAAATTTGTCGGAAAATGTGTACTTTGGTACTCGCTTTCATTCCCCGAAAACTCCATACAATTTCAACCAATTGAAATATTTAGTGGCACCTGTACCTTACACGGTACACACTGTATACACTTATGTTTGATAATACATATCGTGGGGGTATTATATCCCTCATCCTCCCCGTTGGATCGCTTATAAGTAAAAATTATTGCTATTCGATTTTTGGACTTTGAATATTGATATTGAGCATATAAACTTTACATAATAATAATATGTTTCTAATTAGATTTCGGTCGATTTCCCGAGAAACTTTCCAGTTTACACAGTCGTTGTTTTTAGATATTATAGAAAATCGATCGGTGCAATTTACCACTGTCCTACGAAACGCGTAATTAGACCTTATTCAGATTTTCGAAAGCCAGTCGGTATTAATTTTGGCGCATTTACCATCCCGAGTAAAACTTTATACTTAAACGACGACCAGAAAAAGAAATCGTTTACGATTCGCTCGATTGAACTATTTTTTCCCCTCAGTTTGCGTCCGATGACGTGAAATAACGACGGACTAAACTAATATAACGCATCCGGCAAAAAATATAATATATAGGTATATATATTATAGATATATATATTCGAACGAAATGACAAATTGATGATTGGGGGTTACCTATTTTTTAACACTACTGCGCAATCCTGCGTGTTCAGAATTCGATTGTCATCGTGCGTAAATATACGAACTGGGATAGAATTTCAAAGTACCTACATCCAGTACCAGCGATTAAATGATTGAATAAGAAAAAAAATCTATTTGATTTGTAACGGAGATCGCATATTAATAATACGGTTTGGATTCCGAACGAATAACAGAAAACTCCGTATTATTTTTATTTTTTCGTCTCAGAAAACACGTTTTATGTATGACAGGGAAAACGGTTGGTAAAGCTATTTGTACATATAGAGTATAGACTATAAGTCCGTGATGCCCGTGATAGTGTTAATAATTATATAATTGAGAGTTGGAATTGGGTATTTTTTTTTTTATTTTTTTGAAATTTCTCGATGTACCTTATCAAAAATGTAAAACCGGGAAGGAAAAACTCGTCGAAAGTATTATTATTATAAATACAAAGCTATAATTATTTTAGAATTTGAGTGGAGCGAAGAAGGTTATGGTTTTACAAAGATGTTTATTTTTTTTTATTTTAACTGTGAGCAACTTTTCTACCAGAAGACTTGCTCGGATTTCTACATGCAGCACTTTTTAAAAAGTAATCGAAAGTATATGGACGTGGGGAGGTACTTTTAGGAAGTCATTTTTTGATTTTTCCAAGAGCTTTCCCAGCAAATGTGAAAAACGCGGGTAAAACATGGGAAAACTGGGAAAATCGGTACAGAATTAAACAAATATTAGTAAAGTATGTTCTTTAATAATATTTATTCAATAAAATAAAGCCTTTTTAATTATTTTACTATACTATGGAATATATATTGTTGACAAAGCATCACTATCAACAAAATTCCAACTACGTATTTTGTAATCGTAAACAGAAATTATTACAAAATGTTCGAGCAGGCGAAAATTACTCGGGCTATAAAGACCAAATTTGTGTAGTTAAAAAAAAGAACTTTCACTCTGTAACGCTGGTTTTCGTTTTTAGATATCACATTTACTAAAGAACTTATTCAAGTTTTATAAAAATAAAATCAACAGATTTTTAACCAATAATGACTTGTTTTACATTTTTTAATATCGAAAAAAACAACGTTGCATGACATTCTTCTTTTTCTATGGTGCAAATGTTGGTCTTTTAATTAAATCAATAACCCTAGATGGTTTTTCGCACAAAAAAGTTTTCACCATCGAATTAGGAGCTGTAGTACACCCTATTAAAAACATCAAAGACATCACTTTGAGTCACGGGGGTTTGGGTTTGTTCGTCTAAACTAGGTACGGTCGTTTTCGAAAAAGCTCGTGACCGGTCGACAACGGAATTTCGATGGTTTCTCTGTAGATGGGGATTTGGAACAGTTTTGGCAACATTTCTGCAGAAGATATATACGAGGAATCCAGAAATCTCGGATTTGACGTAGGCATTTTGATCGTCGAAATTTTGGACGCAGATTTATGTGTCAGAGAAAAAACTTGGCCGTGCCCCAGAGCCACGCGGGTCCCGTATAGATCTGTTGAAGCGCGCATAATATACGGGTTTAAGGGGAATGAATAGGAATAAAAAATGTTTGTCAAATAATTCCGTGACCTCTTCTCAATTATTTATAGTATAAGCAATAGCTTTTACGTATTCATAATCACAATTAAATCAAAATAAAATATCGCGCCCTACTTCAATCCGTCAAAATTCTCCTCAAGCCCAGCGAGTGTAATAATGTGTTCGTTACCTTTTGTGACGTGTCACTGCAGAGTACCATAAATAATAATAATTCCGCCTAATAATTTTATACTCAAAAGGTCTTTACTCGCAGTGAATAATTAATTTTCGATTGCATAATAGAATATTTAAATATAAAATACAATATGTAAATATATAAACCAATGCAAATATATAAATCAATATCCTCTCTGGATTCGGCCCAAATCAAAACGTAACAGAGTTGGTTTTAGGAGTTTTACATAACATAACCTACTACTTGATGGTTTAAATCTGATATTGCATAAAGGGAGTAAGTGTCCTAAATCAGGAGTTATATTGGGAGACGCAAGAGAATTCAGTTCCACTACCTCTAGCAGCGCTTAAAACGAGTCCTTTTTAAACCAATTCTCCAAAGATACACTAGGTAGTTTTGAAATGTACCTAATGATTTTAAATATAACAAAAATTATTTATTTATTTCAGTTTAATCTTTGATAAAAAAAAATATTACTACTATCGTGATTTAAATTTTATCTATATTCTATGGTTTGTCGGAGTATCGCTAATGAGCGGACTTTTGAACTATAACTTACTCGCTCATGTTTATTATATTTCAGTATTGCATTAATGTATAGATTGTATGAAACAAATAAAAAAAAAAATTGTATTATATGGTTTAGACTGTAGGCCCTAGGTATATAATATGCTACCTAATAATACCTATAAAACCTAAAATACCTAAATTGTGTAATCATTATTTTATGAATTTATATACCGTAGGTATAATGACCATGTGTATTAAAAGTCCTAAGCAACATGCATCGTAATCCAAAGGAAAATATGATGTATGTTTCTATTTATATTTTGATGTGTTTTTTTCTGTCTTTAAACAACTTTTCGAACTTACAAATTGCTCCAATAGAAAAATGACTAAAGAATTGTTTTTTTGTATTTTGGATCAAATTGGTGTATTTGAATCTTCATTTTTTTGATTTTCCAAGCACTTTTCGTAATAGTTGAAAAAACCGGGAAAAAAATGTTTACGGAAATATAATGGCTTCATTATTTTGAATTCTGTTTTTTGTTATAATTCAGTTAAAAATATTCATAAATAATTGAAATTTCGACAGAAAACTCATATTTACTTTTTCTAGACATTTTTGTAAAATATATTCAAAACATTTAGCACGTTTTGAGCTATGTATAGGCATTTCATTGAGAGTTTTTTACGTACTTTTTATTTGGTGGATAGTAGGTACCTACTATATGAATATAATTTTTTGACGGAACAGAAATGCTTGTAATGTTAACAGAAGGTTGATTAAAAGTTTTATTTAGTGTTAAAAAAATAAAAAATTTACATGGATTTTTTTTTTTATAATTGTTTTAATATAACATTTTGATGAAAATCGTAAATATTACGGCCTTTCAAATCATGTATAAACGAAATTTTCTCGGAATCATTTTTTGTTAAACAATAGTTTATCGTTGCTTACGGTTATAAATTGTACAACTTCATGTATCCTATCTTTCCGACTTCTCACTTACAAAATAGGCGCGCTCATCAGCAGTTTAGCTCTTTCGTCAATTTATATGTAAGCGTTAAAAACATTATGTACAATGAAGTTATCTAGAAAATATTAAAGTCTCTAATATATAGTTTTCTGAAATGTCTTTATTAATTTTTATGTAAACGCATTAGTAAAGTTGTTATGGACAATGATATAAATAAAATAAAATTAATGTTATTACCATATTTATATTGTTTATTTTAAATAAAATAATGTCACTTTTTAAGCGAAATGAGAAACATGTTTTTGGTTTAACAAATTAATGAATAACCTTTTCTTTAATGGTTCCTTGAAATTCGGGTCATCACTGCATTGAGCGCTCAAAATAAAATAGGAATCATACACATTCACTTTGATATTTTGTGCAACTTTAAGCCTTGGCCTAAGTGTAAAACCTTAACATATTATAGTGAGGGGATGCGTATTTTACATGCTGCTTGGGCCGCTTACTCTTTAGTGTCCAATTAGTCCTAATTTCTAATTCTAATTGTTCTAATTTAAGTGGAAAGTTTTCTAGATCTTTGTTTCTTTTTATTTTTTATTTTACATTATTACTTCGTATTTAACGGACAATTTCTTTTAATAATATTTTATTTAATTTTTAAATTGTATATTAGCAATATACAATTATATATGCAATTTTGAAGTGACTCATGTATAAACACGTGTAACATATATTAAAAACCACTATGACTGGTAAAAATGGTTTTTTTTTTCCAATCGTATTCACCCAGTAAAATGTTTCTCGGCGGATAAATGCACACGTCTGTTTAACTTTCTGATAATGACGTCAGTCTAAAAATTTCTAGCCGGGACCGTATCATACGATACTAAGCACATAAATATTGTATTATCCTTTGCATCGCCCCCCCCCCTTGAGAAGTTGTTTGTAGGCTCAGAAAATATACTCGTACTGTGTATACGTTATATAATAATATTAATATTATAGCATTATATTCACGTATAATAATAATATAATACAGTCTAACGTTCTAGAAGATATTGCGTCCGTTAAATATTCTAAACGCGTAGAGCGAAATTCGAACGCTTTGACCCGATTCAAGAAGAGTCGTTTTGCGTCGTCGGTTGCTCGCGCTCGACCGATACGACAGTCAAAATAAATACCGTGAATACTTGTGAAATATATGGCAGAGGTACTAAATTACCTAGTTTAACTTCCCATTAAAGTAAAAAACGAAACAAAATAATCTTCGGTTCAATTCGTAGTAGCAGTTTTTACATTCAATTTCAGTTTATTAACATTTTATTTACACGGTTTATACCACGGTGATTTTTAAACAGTTCATACATCAGCACGCAGTAACGGTAACGAGACATTTTGAGATAATTTGTTCGGGTTTATTTGGAGGACATTTTGATCCGTTTTGTAAAAAAATGAAATGCTTTGGTAGCGTATTACCAAAGCGTATATACCTGCGTCGCATGTCTAAATACGCTGCTCCCATTGGCTAGTTTGAATTGTACGGTTAAAATGTAATTTCTAATATTGAACGATTTAAAAAAAATGTGTTGTAATATCATAGTCATACCACAGAACATCAATATTAATATTATCCGTGGTAATATTATATTATATTAGTAAATTATCGAAAAATAAAAATGTCACCTTATCGCAGTAACCATATTAGAAAAATAATTGCGATTCAATAAAATTGTGTGAAATTCCTAACCAAACATTTAACTGTGGTTTTAAGTTGGTATTTTGAACATTAAACAATATCAACAAAAATGTAAATATACCAACGAAAATTGAATTGAAACGTCACAAAACAAAATCTTTCGAAATTAAAAGTAGATAAAACCAAACGAAATGTAATTACATACCAATGTTATATCTGATAATACTGAACTTAATCTCGTATTAAGTCTTAATCAAATATCTCAGATTAATTAGTTTATGGTTAAAGCCCAATTTAAATTGTAACCTAGTAATAATTAAATGTCTAGCCTTGCTTAACTAAGGATTAACATTTACCAGAACTTAAACTCTCTTAACTGGTGATTGATAAAATTGATATTAGACTAGCTGGTGATTAGTTTTATTGAAATATGTTTTTTTTTCTCTGAAAATTCTTCCGGTTTCTTCGAAAAACTTAGTTTTTTTGTCATTCGATACCTTAAAAAACGCGGTACTTTATTTTCATATTTCTTGTCTTTGACACACATTGAAATACATTTAAAATTATATTATTTATTTATTTATTTACCTATTTATTGATGCTTCGTCTGAGAATGTTTTCGATACACCATTGAAATAAGGGATATAAAATAATATTAATATCATGCAAAGTGCAGTCACGTCCCCTGCTGCATATTTACAAACCCTGTTTGAGTGGTATATAAATACTCAAGCCGTTGTAGTTTTTCATCGACTAGGACATTAAAGGTACTCTGTTACAAATATGAGCGCATCACGTTGACGCATACAAATGAGCCACGAAACAACATACGGATCACCCAGTAATATCTAATCGTTCTATCATTGTTCGCCGTTGTTCGGCTACCGTCACTGCTGCCGGAACGTATATTGGCAGAAATTGCCTGACGTTTCCACTAATTTAATCAGTTTTCGTCCGCCACATGGTGCGCTTATATTTGGAAAACATGATGAAAAACAGAAACCTAACATAGTATAAGTTTTAGGTTTATATTCAGGACACCAACTGTCTTGAAGACCTATCAGGTTTAAACCAGCATGCTGGTTAGGTTGCTGCAGTAGATGCAAATTATAATTTCTGTTTCCCTTCTTCTTTGTCTAAACGTTTGGTGCCTTTCATCTACTAGGTAAATTAGTTTTTAACTTCTTACATTCAAAAAACTAATTTTCTTACAGTGATATTAGATTTGGACTGAAAAGTAGATCAAGCAAAACTCTTAAAACTAACTAGGCTATGTTTAGGCTTAGGCCGAACTCGGATAATATTTTTCTTCTTTTTTTTTGTTTTTCGATCCTCAGAATCCCAGATTGGTTTGCAGTGTTTTACTTTACCTTTACGTCTTCCGCTTTTTTCCTCAACTACATAAATCCTTAGTTTGTCATAAGTCCCTTGATCTTTTATTGCTTGCTTATTAGTCTCTTCCTATGTGATGTTTGCCTTCTTGTCAAGCTTTTCCATTGTGTTCTTTCTTCTTTCAGATCATTTTTTTTTTCGTTTGTTATACTCTTGGCTAACTTATTTTTAACATCTTTTTGTAACACCACACATTTGGTACGACTCAAATTTCTATTGTTCTTCTGCTGTTATCATCCAGGTTTCACTCGTATATAGTAGTATGCTCCAAACATGTATTCAATCAATTGTTTCATACGCTTGTGCTAATATCCGGGTAATATATGGATCTGTAAATACGCGCCCCAAACGGTAGTTCGGGACAAATGTCGTTGTCTTTATTTCATTATTTTTCGCCATAGGATTAGCGGATCACACATTTTAATAAAAACAATAATTTTATTATTATTATGACGGACAAGCGATATAATATATTTTGTACATTTAATGCAAGTCCGAACTGATCCGTCGAGATGCGGCGTGTTCGGTTGACGTGGGTCTACTCGAAATACGGTATTGTATAATATCATATTATTATATTTACGCACATATATATTGTTCGTATTATTATTCCGAGTTTGACCGTTTTGTTCGCGGCCTTACCGCTGTTATCATTATAATATTATATTATTATCATTATTATCGTTGTACGGTGTTTTGGCATAATAAATAATAATTATTATAATATCGTTATCGTCATTGTCGTATATTGTCGGGCGACCGTATATCCTTATCTTTCGCTCGTCTCTCGGTTTTGACCACAGCGGCGGATAATGGATATCTCGGTATAATAATAGTATTACATAAAGTAGGTCTATGGCGGTTTAGACGCCGAATTTAGTTTTAGATTGCGAATTGTAGCAAATGCATTTTGTTTAAATTTATTTCAAGCCATACCTAATACTGCTATGCTGTATACCAGTGGTTTCAAACGCATGGGCCGTGGTCAATGAGATACTGGTACTCGGACGCTGATCAAAGACATAAAACAAAGATCGGAAAATTTAAAAAAAAATATTATTTGTATATTATTTGAAAATAAACGTCTATATTTCGATCGAGATTTAGTTATAATCCCACAATTATAACCATCGTAATATTGTATTGGTTGTCGTTTTCTTATTGTAGAATATTTATGTCATTGTGGCGTGGAATGTGGGCACGTTGCGAATATTTAATCTTGATATTAATACTCTCATAAGAGAAAAACAATGTTGAAAATGGCATTGATTTTATTTGAATTTAACCATTTGTATATAAAACGAAAACAATAATAAACTTCTTTTTTTTTATTAAAAATTATTTTTATATTTAAATTATTTTTTTCCTAATTAACGACGTATGTGCAATATACACATTATATAGGTATACCTATACGAGTAATACTAAAATGGTTGGGTAACGCTGCTATGTACTATATTTATTACCTACATAGTTTACGATGCTCGAAAGTTTCGAAATTTTTATTTTGCTTTTTATCTTCTTTTTTTTATGTACTTTGAAGTTTTTAAAAACCACCTTTCTTTTTAAAATGTTTGTATCTCATATTAAATAGGTAAGACGTATAATATATTACCATGTTACCAAAATTATTACATTTTAATACATTTCAGTGCTCTTTTTTTCCCGAAATATTAAGTGTATTTTAATATTTTATTTCAAAATGTTGCATTATTTTTTATGGTTGTTTTTTAAGATTTTTTATTGCATTAAATTCACAACCCCTTAGTCCGCATAGTAATCATTATCGGTATACTTTCGTGTATTTACTGCGACGTCGTTTCCTCCGATCGCTCGAACTATCACCGGCTTTAATAGTGCACCCAGCGTACGTCAAATAATACAAGTTTATATTATATTTTAATAAGATGCCGATTGAAAAGTCTCTGTAAATTATTAAACAGTAAACATGACGTATATCCAAACGTTCAAACAAGATCAAAAACAGTTTTTTCTTTATTTCTCTCTCTCTCTGTGGCTCGATGTCGGTTTAGTGGTTTTCCGAAAGTTCTGTAATGCACTCCCCACCGCTACCACTCTAGATGAAAAAAATCACCATAAGAACAAAGTTTTGCAAATGTATACATCGTGTTTTATTTTCCGTTCGTTCATTTTTTATTAAGACTTCTTTTTATTCCTTTTTATATATGTTACTATATAGTTGTCGTTCGTTTTATTGTTAAAAGACTCTTGGGCCACATATTATATTGCAAGTATCGACGCGTTTTCTGACCCCGTGAAGAGTTTCGTAACCAAATGCTTAACGTAGATAAGATGGTGTTATAATAGACAAAGAAATATAAAACATTAATTCGGTCAAAAGAGTGATCCAGTTAAAAGAACGCTATCTAAGGAGGTATGTAGGGGGAAATAAAGACCGTTCCTTTTCATACCAAATAAATTTTTAATTTTACGACAGCCTGCCCCTTTCCCCCCTAATAATTTACTCCAGATTAGATCTATTTCTCCTATATTTTTTTCGCTGAGCTCTTTAATAAGAACTTTGAAGATGCATCTTTAAGGTTTAAATTAAATAACGATAAATTGCACTCCATTTTGTCACGCGAATAGTTAGTGATATGAATGATAAATAAATATTTTATCATATATCCAAAGCGTATATGTTTTTGTAAACCAAAAAAATCGATCCTTTAAATAATGGCAATAGTACATATTAAAGTATATATTTTTGCGCCAACCATTATTCTTGCCATAAACAAACATATACATTAGAAACATCTAAGAGGGATAAAATTCGTGATGCATGACGAGGTGTGAGAGGATGCCAACGTCTATCTTCGCAACGCGGACGGAAGCTGGTATGACGACGAGATTCAAAAATTCATCGTGTGAATGAGGAAAGTCATCGAGCGCCAGGATGACTAAATAAAAAATAGCTTAAGCTATGACCTTTCTAACGATATACCCAGCAATGTAAATAAATGTCATTTTCTATGAAAAAAAAAAATTGGAGACCTTATTTTTAAATTTACCCTCGTACTTTAGGCACACGAACGTGTGCGTGCAAATATCGAAATCGTCGATAAAAAAACTGCCAAAATAAATTCAACTACTCTACATCGCCGTATATGTTTATGTACGTCGCCAATTTGACAATAAACTCAATAAAAATAATGTCAATAAACCAAACGATTACGTGGCAGCCCAGGAGGTTTTAGTATACACGAGCATTTTCGTGGTGTGTTCTGATAAAAATATAGTTGGTCGCGACGAGAATTTAAATTATTTCCATATGTGATTCGTGGATTCGTTAAAGGTGGTTTGTTCCGCAAAAAAAAATGATAATAATAATAATAACTCGTTATTTATGCGCTCCATTTTTATTGGGACCGCAACGAAATAATATTTAACTCGATAATAGAATTTAATTTTCGAATTAAAATCGCGGGGTACGCACGTCGCGTGCAGATTATTGAATGAAAAGTAATATAAAGCCGATTAGATTATAATATTCAAGCGTATTAAACTTTGCGTTTAATCTTCTCGAATAATAATAATCGTGCAATAAAACACCACATAAACCGTGTGTGTACAAAGCATATTATTGTTCTGTACAATATTCCTAAAGTTGTATTACTATAGTGAAAAACTTTTTACGGAAATGGACATAATATTATAAATCAACCCCCCCCCCCCCCCCCCCCCCCCGATATTAGTTCGTGTTATTTTACCTATATAATATTATAATACGATTATAACATTACACATTTTTAATTTGTCACTCTTCCCCCGAAATTATTCTCCAGTTATGTCCTTTTGTATTATAAGAACACCTAGTCCGGATCAATTTTTTAAAATTAGTCCAGCTACTCCAAAATAATTAATCAAAGATTCACACTACAGAACTCGTATCTATGTACAGTGTACATTGTACACATTTATGGAGCTAATTGGTAATGTTTCTGAATTTTGACGTTCAATGATTATAATGTTATAACTGTGGTTATGTAACTTCTAAAACTAACTGTGATGTGACTTTAACATTCCGTAACTGGTCTAAACTCGTTCATTTTGGAATATTATTTAAAAACCGATTTCTGATCATTGGTTCGGGTTCGGCTTCCGTTTTAAACCTAACGGTTACGTATAATAGCAAATTAAACGCCCGTGGTAAACGATAGTTAACATAGAAATGAATTTTGCATCGCATCGCGTGTCGAGATAGCTACATCAAGTATAAAAGACGGTAAATTATTCTCGAAATCAATTTTTTCCCACCTTTTTCCTTAATTACCATTATTTATTGCCGTCTTGTGACTTATTATTTGAGGTTTAATTTATCGACTTTTGACTTGTCGACCTCATTTGCTCGTAATAAAATACACCGAATAATCAAAATATTATTACATATATATATACCTGAGGTTCCGTTGATTATACTTGTATAGCTATAGCGTGTTCGAAAACCGCGATGTGAAGTGGGACTTTATTTCATTTATTTCACTTAAATTTAATTTAATTTATAACCTAATATCTAAACGCAATATGATATTATTTACACGAACCCCTAAATAATACCCTCATTGCGATCACTGACAAAAAACGTACACGTTTTTTAGATTCGAAGTATAGCGAAGGTTCTTTTGGTTTTACTCTGGTGTGTGCTTTTTTGTTATTATTTTTTTTTTATCTGAAATCAACTTTTTGAAAAGAAATCTTGTTCAGATGTATAGAGTATATTAACTTTTCTGAAAGTAAATTCCGTCTTGTTGACGAGCATTAGAGAGGTCATTTTTTTGATTTTCCAATGGGTTTTCAAAATAATTGGAAAATACCAGAATGAAAATAATAGATAAAACAGCAAATATTTACAGCGTACCGATTTCATTTTTTTTTTCTTTGCAACTTATGTTTCTACCAGAAATATTGTACCAATCGAAAAACAACAATATATCGATTTTGTTTCTATAAACACATAGCCATTGTCAAAGAAAGTCGAAAAATAAGGTTTTTTTTTTTAAATTACGGTACAATGATTTTATTATTTTAAATTTGTACGGCTTATATTTTCTAGATAACATATTGATCAATAGAAAACCAACAAGAAATCTTTCTTGTTTAATTTTTAATCTAGTTGGTGACCAAGAAAGTCGTTTTTTTTATAATTTTTTTAATAATTTATTGAACAAAACGTTGAAAACAAGGTGAGAAGATGGGAAGGTAGAGGGGAAATTTAATGTTTATCTGTACACAAAGATTAAACATTACTAATGAAAAACTATTCTAAACGGAGTTCGGTTAATACTGTTGCTTTGTCAACAATATATGTCGTATTTTGGTAAAATAATTAAATATGCATTATATATTTTCTTTAATAGTAATTGTTTAATATTATACCTATTTTCCGATTTATTATGAAAACGGATGGAAAAATCAAAACATGGCCTTCCTAAAATACCACCTCAGTCAGATTTCCTTTCAGAAAAAGTGATATCATTGTAAATTGGAACAAAATTGCTGGTAGAATAGTTGTTCACAGACAAAAAAAAAAACATCGTTGTAAAACCAATACATTCCTCGCTCTGCTCAGAATCTAAAATTGAAAATAATACGAAAAATAACGGAAAATGTATAAATATAATTATTTTATTAATGTAAATCAGTTGGTAATATTTGTAGAAACTTAAAATTTTGACATACAATTTAAAAAATTTTTTTTTCTAAACTTTGTAGAATTTTTAAAGCAATTGAACTATTTATAGACATTTTAATTATTCAAGTTTTTACGTAATTTTTATTTGGTAGGTACTTTATGGGTAAAATATTTGGACTAAACAGAAATACTTGAAAATTTGACAAGAGGTTCACTATAAGTCGTTCTTGTGTTCACAAAAAAAAAATGAGAAATTGAAAGCAACGTAGTATTTTTTTATTTTTTATAAGTTTTAAAATAAAATTTTGACGAAAATCATAAATATTACTTATTACTTTTGAAAACAAGTACAACCGAACTTTGCTCCGAATCGTTTTTCTTTAGCAATGAAGTTTATCGTTGGTTTTATGGATATAATAAATAACTTAAGGCTTCTGCCTTCCCAACTACAATTGATAGATTGGTATGGATTTGCCCGACACTACATTTTTCCGATAATATAATATTTTACTATAAATAAATTTGTGTCACTTAGACTTTCAAAAAGGCGAGATCTTGTCTTGTTTAACTAGTACATCCAATATTTTACCTTCGATATTAGCAAATTTTAATTTGTTTTCATCGAATGTAATTCAACATTGAAGAAATAGACTACTACAATTTTCCCTCTCGCACCCTCCATTTAAATTTTCTTTCTTGTCTTAATAATCAATCCTATGATTGGGTTACAGCAATTATTCAACTCTTCCCTGTTATTATATGATTCTTTCTTTTAATTTCTTCATACAAATTACATCTTTGGTCCGTCATTATTATTTGCATATCTTCCGCATCATTTTTATCTTTCACGTGCCCTTCTTCACTGAATGCAACCCACCATTTTTCTTAGTACATGTCCAATCAATTCATTTCTTTTTCTTTTTTTTTGATACTTTTTCAAACATTTTTATATTCTCTGATATCCTTTTCATAATTTCTTCGTTAGTCACACCATATCCGTCAAACCTACATTGAGAATTTTTCTGTAGCACCCAATCTCCAAAGTTTCTATATTTCTTGTTTTGTTTAATAAAATAAGACAAAGTTAAATTTAATTTTTGACTGACTTTTTGATTTTTTATTTATTTAACTTATTATTTTTAAATAAACAAATCAATTTTAAATTATATCGCGTTAAATTATTTTTATTTTAACACCAATATGAAATTTACCGTCTGCGTACATTTTATTTGTTGAATAAGTATCATAAAAAAAAAAAATAACAAAAATCCTTGGTCATTATAGTCATTTTCACTATGACAATAAAAAGTGCCGAAAAAAAAATAATAATAATAATAATAAACCTAACTTATGTAAGTTAGTTAGAAAATTATTTATTTTAACGTGTTAACTCGGTAACTTTTTTTCGTTAAAATTAATCGAGTAATTAGCTTGTCCATCCTTGCATTAACTATAGTTATCTTTACGTTGAATAGTTTTGATTAAAATAATTTAAAAATCGTGAAAATCGGTTTTTCGGATATGCATGCAATTACAGAGGTAGCCGTAGAAATCGCATTTTACGTTCGGTTTTTATTATCATTTTTATTATCATTAATAAAAAATAATATAGATAATAAATGAAATCGTTTAATTTTTATTTCACTCGTCAAACGCACGGCGATATATTATTATTACGATAGTGCAATATATTGGAGGGATACGATAGGTAGGTAGGTAGGTAGGTAGGTAGGTAGGTCAGTATAAATATTTTGTTTAATCGGAGAGGGATAGCTGCTATTGGTTTTTAGTCTAGATTTATTACGCGAAAATTCAGAACGCGCCGCAGACATTCGGCCGTGGCGGGTAAAATAAATTGGCCCGCACAAAATGACTGTTCTTTAATGCGTTTCACGTTTGTATTTGTCCTCCGATAGTTACTATATGGCTATTAATCAAAGAGTATTGTGTATGCGTTTTAATAAAACGTTTCGGTTATGTCACACGTATATAATATTATATATCGTAGTCGCAGGAATGTCCCGTAGCGTTATCAATTTCGGCGATCGTTTTAAAATAATAATAATATTATGGTGTATCTAATTTTTCACTCTACGAATAATATATCGGTATTGTCACATTATAAAGTAAGACAGGGTCATCATTTATCTACAATATTAGGTACTTGCGGTGTCATTATCGATTAATCCCATACCGCGCACGGTCAAATAAATGACAAGCTATACGTGACGACGAAAAAAAAACCTATTATATAATTAGAACTGAGAATTAATGCAAATCGATTAAACATGCAGCAGTTGTGCCCTAAAAATAACTATTGTGGGTTGAGTTGACCTACCTGATCTGTAACTTACCCTCTTAAAAAAAAATGTTCTGAAACAAAAAGAATAAGTAAATCCGAATATATTTTACGCTATAAATATGCTTAACTTGTGAGTCATTCGCTAGTTTTATACAAGTTAGTAAAGTCCACTCTACGAGCGTGCTAAATTCCCGATTTTTACACGTATTTTAAACAATAAACAATTATTGGTAACTTTTACACCCTCTAAAGCCTAACTAAATTAAAAGTTGTTATTGACCCAGATCAGGATGATTTTTATTGTTATTACTACGAATAAACCACCTTTGTAACCTACTACTGTACTTACTTTAAAAAAATAATGATAATATCGTATCTATATATACTAATAACTAACTGATCAACAGACAAAACAAAGATATAATGTGTTCTAAACTATCTTAAATCGTGACTATGTACTACAGTTAACTAACGGAGTGGCAAAAAAATCAACAATAATTGTTGAATTTTAATCATGATAATTATGTATCGGTAATTACGTACGGACGAACACAGTGTAGATATAAGGTCATATTATAAGAGCACATCAAATTCATATTTACAAAACCTCAAAAAATTGTAGAAAATAAAGACTATACCTAAACAAAAGTTTCGACCGCCAAACGTTTTCTAAAAATCTATTTTACAAAATGGCTGTTTTAAATAATTATTATAAAATATTAAAAGTTGTTTTAAGTTCCTCCCTTTAAGAAAAAAAAAAATGTTCATATATGAACTAAAGCACGGAGAAGGAATATCAACTATTTTAAAAAAAAATTATTAAAAATATTGAATAGAACAAAAGTTATTTCAAGTTGCAGATTTGTATGTTATACCCTATACATACACCTGTATATACAATCTAATAAAAAATTGTTTTTCCTTAGCAACGAATTTCCGTCGCATTTTTACTGTTGTGACGCAAATCAAGGCAAAAAACAATACAGTGCAAATACAATGCGCACTATTGTGAATTAAAAATTCGTCAGAAACAGGGGTAATTGAATTTTTGAAATGGTATCACATTTACGACTTTGGTTAAACTAATTTTTACATTACTAGTTCTTCATTTCCAATTGGTTCATAATAATATTGCCAATAATAGTAGTGGAGATCGGGTGTAGAGAAGATGCATATTTTAAACGTTGTATACCGTATAATAGACTATTACGACTACTATTATATAATTATACATTTGTCTATCCTTCCTTATTTTTCTTACATTTTTCTATTATATTAATTCTTTTGTTATATTTATATCCACCTACTAAGATATTGGTGATAAACCGCGTAATGCACGCTGTTTGGTGGTTGACCCACTAACTATATTTTCAAATCGCCATGTTTGTATGTTACAACAATTATTTGTTGAACCACCTATCATAATATTGTTACTACCGTTAAGAATATGATAACAACAATGATCACCGCAACGAAAAATATTTCTCGTTTTGGGTCCTATCTCGTTTACTTGTCCAAAGACGATTAGATTAGAAATTGAAGAAGGGAAACACGGTCTTTTCTGGTGTGGCAGACGATATGATAAGTGATCGGAAATTGAAAAAAACAGACACCTATGAACTTCTTCGTTTCAATAGGCGATATTATATTATTATAGTTCGGTGGTCCATTACTATAGTTCTATTGGTTATTAATATTATGATATTAACATTTTTCGTAATAAAATAACGTCATTTTACACAAAAATAATAAATTTTGTATGGATTATATGATATTATTATTACAGTATATCAATTGAGTCAAAGATTACAAAGTGGTGGTCCATTGAATAGTGATAACGTTAAATCTGAATTGACCATTTTCTTACAAGTATCTATTACAATGTATACTATATAGGCTCTGTATCTGTACCTATATACTGATTGTCGATAATAATTTGTGAAATAAATATTATCTGTAATAATATTATATTTTTAGTTGAAACTCAAACACTGCTACATTAAAAATAAATTCAGAATATGAATATTAAAATTGTATTTTCAAAACTGTATTATTGAATAATATGATGAAATTATACATTTTCGTGGAAACGGGTGTTTTTTTTTTTTTATTTTAAACAACCGATACAATAATAATAACGTAAAAGCATCATAGTATAAAAAATCTGCCCTACTTATAACAGTCGGCCAATCTTTCGGAATTAGAAAATAAACAGAACGAACCCCTCCGATAGCGTTTTTTTTTTTTTTCATTTTCTTTTCTCACGTTCGAATATAATAGAAAACAAAATGTAAGTACGAGATTTTCCGCGAGAATCTTTTTTTTCCTGTTTCTTTCGCCATCATCATAACCGGAGGGGGAAATTCGATTAAAAATGTTGAATTAGCCGGGGACGTGCGCGATTTTCTCTAGGACGATATTGCTACAGTCTCGCCTGTATTCCACCCGTTTGGACACGTCAATCTCGATTTTTCTTTCCAGCCCGGCCATCGGCCGGTTACGTGACGCAATGCGAACTAGAAAAAAAAACATTAAGAGTCACAATTCTTTTCGAAAACGTATTCACGCAAAACCGAAAAAAGTATACCCATTAAAGTGATTTGTAGTTTATTTTTACTCACATTTATTACAACTTAAAAAAAAAAATAAGTAACATTATTAAAAATTAATATCTCAGCAAAGTGATGTGTAGGCCGATAAATTATGTTCTTCAATAATTTTCATCTTAAATTCACCTTACAGCAGTGTATCTTACTACATTATGTATCATTTTGAAGTAAAACGATTTTTTAAAATCCCTTGCAAGTCAACATATTAATGATTTTATGAAATTGATATCGCCACATGATACTCCTTAAATGTTGTGTAAAATCTAAGTATAAGAAAATATTGTCTTAATACACTTAAAAGTTCAAAAAGTCAGAATTCGAATGTGTGCATATTTAATAAATCGCCCTATATAAGAGTTTGAAATTCAAATGTTAACGAAATCATGTAAAAATTATATTATATATTAATATAATGAAGTGTCTGTTTTTTTATTTGGGCGTCATTCATGGTCAAATCTTTTGCACGCAAAAGTCTGAAATTACATATACGTGTAGCGCATTCACCTCGAAGCCGATTTTCCGAAAGTAACGGGTTTTAGGGTAGTTCCGGAACGCGCTGTGATTTTTACGATGTTTGTTAAATCAACAAAAACAAATTGCTACATTTGAAAATAGGATCGATATTTTTGGCTGAAAAGTTTTTAACCTACTGAAAAAAAATAAAAGTATTAATCGTTTTGTCATATTCAAACAAATTGGCTGCGCTCAGAACCTAAAAATAGTTACGACGCATTTTTATTACTTATTTTGTTTTTACTTTGTGTTCGTTCCGTCTGGACGGAAAAACCGTGGGGTACAATTAGTAATTAATATAGTAGGTAACTAACAAGTAATGATAAAATGTTTAATTTAAATTTGGCAAGATAATTTTTTAACCTTGGTCATCACTCGAGGTTTTCTTTTATATTTACAATAATTTTTTTTTTCAATTTTAATTTTTAATAGACCGCATATATAGATAAAATGTTTTAATTAACTATAATAATCATTTTTCGTCCTGAGACGAACCGCAGAGTATTATTTTATAAATTAAATATTAAGTATGGAAAAATTGGAGGATTCAAACAGAATACATTTCTGAAAACAACTCGTTTTTTCTTTAGAAAATTAAAACAAATTGTTATTTTAAAAATATTAAAAAAATAAAAAGTTATCAGAAAAATACTTTCTATACATTTTTTTGACAGTATATGGAAAAAAAATAAAACGCTTTCCATTTTAATCTATTAAGTTTCCGGAAATGAATACATCCATCAGAATTTCTAAAAGATTTTCGGGAAACTTTTTTTTTTTTTCCGGAAATTTGATTTTTATATTATAGTTACATAACTTGTTAAAAATAATAAATAATAATATTACACTCGTCGTTCAAACGTTCAAATTTATTTATACGCATTGTTTTCACGCTTTTTCGCCGATTTTTCTTTGTTGATGTCGCGAGCCGGTCAGCGGGTCACATGACGTGATATTATGACAACGGTGGCCGACCGACACGAGTCCCGTGTAATGAACGGACGTACTTACAATTCCGCCGTATTAAATAATAACTCAGCTGCGTGTGTTCGCCTGAGGGTTTCAAACCCACACGTTAAAAGGTAGTGACCCGTCCGCTCCCGAGCACGTCAAATCCTCTGCTCCAGGAACACTTCACACGCTTTCCCGTGATGATGGTCGTCCGCCCCGCGTCTTTTGTTTAATTTTGTTGTTTTTTTTTTACCCTTCGTTTCCTCTTTTGCCTCACATTTAACACTCTCGGCGACGACGACCCGTTTCCTTCGCCGCCGCGGTCACCTAGCCGCAGTTATGGAGGGACTGGGAAATTCCTACGAGGTTTGGTAATCTCCTACACTGGCATAGTTTAAACTCCTATATCAGATAGTATCATTGAAAATTTGAATAAAAAAATATTAATTGTATTGTATAGCATATCGTAAATTATGATGTATTCATAATAAATTAATATCTAATTAATAGTTATCAATTTAATGTATTTTATCGCCAAAAGTATGAAAACGCGTGTCTACTCATAAGGTGTAACAAGTGTATTGTAATAATATGCATTAAGCGTAACTATCACATACCTATCACAAATTTAAAACGATAAAAAAGAAAGTATAATTAATGGGAATGGGTGCAGCCAATGGTGTAAGTGGGAAGTTGTGAATGTAAGATACAGACGGGAATTTAATGTATATCTGTAAGAAACGATAAACCATTGATTACGAAAAAACGATTCTGAGTGGAGTTCAGTTGATAGTGATGCTTTGTCAACAATATATATGGCATATTGTAGTAAAATAATTAAATATGCTCTATATATGTTCTTTAATAATATTTGTCTAATGATGTACAGATTTTCCCAGTTTCCCTACGTTTTAAACGGTTTTCTCATATTTTATCCTGGTTTTTCACATTTACTGGGAAAGCTCTTGGGAAAATCAAAAAATAACTTCTCTAAAGTATCTCCCCAGTAAAATTTCCTTTTAGAAACATTGCTATCATTAAAAGTTATAGCAAAACTGGTGGTTGAAAAGTTGTACACAAAAAAAAAATCGTAATATTTTAGTAATTATCTTCGTACATTTTCTCGTTTATTTTTCGCTTTTTCAAATTTTATGAGAAAATCGAAAAATAACCTCCTCTAATCTAACCTCCCCACACCGATTTCCTTTAAGAAAAAGTGCAACACATATAAATCCGAGCAAGTCTTCTGGTAGAAAAATTGTTTACAGGTAAAAAAAAAAAACATCTTTGTAAACCATAAGCTTCTTCGCTCCACTCAGAATCTACAATGACAGCGTAGGAGATTACACTTTTTATTTGACAGGTTAAAAATACCTACATAGGAGATTACACTATCCTTTAAATTCAAATAAAAATGCTATTCGTAAAGGATGATTACTTACGGTCACAGCTGTGTAATATTATCATAGTTTTAATAGCTGTTAAACGTGTATTCAACTGCACAGCAACTATAGATAGGTATGGAGTGAGAAATATAGAAATATATATATATATATATATAAATATATCGGATGAACGTATTTTGAAATATTATTGTTTCGTTCATGTTATCAGATAGTTTGATTGATTTATTGATAATTTACATATTGTGCTGTAAAAATGTGTTTTTTATTATTTTTTCCCATGGTTATTCCATCCACCATCTCTTGCTCGATCTAAGTTTTCTCTCTCTTTACTATTATTATTTAACTGGAAAACACTTTTTTTTTTTAGTAAAAAAAAATGTTCTGATCTTTCCAAGTCATGTCCACTTTGAAAGATGCTGATTTTTCGAATGATTGTAGTTTATTTAAAAATATTTTCAAAATTCCTAGTATTTATTACTAAAAACTACTTTTTTGGTGTTTTTTTTTGTCTTATTAATAGTATTTTGGTTAAGCAAATGTCCCAATTTGTCCATACAATGCCTCAAAAGATGGGAAAGTTTTGCGCGGTAGTAATTTATTCAAAAAGAAAAAATATTTACATTCAAATATTTGTTTACAAAATTAAACAACTGACAAAACATTTCGATACATCAGTTATTTTATTATTATTATTTCTGGGTTACCTTGGATACCAGAGAAAAACACAACTATTATTATTAATACTCCGGTCTGTAGAATAGTATTTTTGTTTACAGTATATAAACTAAATTACTTAGTATATGGCTATATCTTCCCAACTACTCATCTACAACAGTGACCTACCCACGAGCAGTATTTAAGAACTACCGCTATAGACACTCCCTATTTTCTGTGACCAATCGTTTCTTGTACTACCTATACCGTGCACTGCATATTTTTCCTTCAGCTAACTATTTTTGTATGATTCCAGGTGTCGTGGATCAGAAAACGTGACCTGCATATATTGACGGTGGGTATACTAACGTATACAAACGACCAGCGTTTTCAGTCATTGCATTCGGATGGGTCGGATGAATGGACGCTTAGGATCACTTCGCCGCAGATTAAAGATTCGGGGACGTACGAGTGTCAAGTGAGCACCGAGCCGAAAATCAGCCAAGGTTTCCAGTTGAATGTAGTCAGTGAGTATCTATACACCGCTCTGCCGTAAAAAAGATTCCATATTTTTTTTTTTTTTTGTACATAAGAAAATTGTAAACTAAAAAATATTATAATTGTTCGATATATTTATAACGGAAAATAGGAAAATATCTATAAATAAATTATAATGAATTGAACGAACAAAAAGTAAACCTTTTTAAAAGGTTTCAGAAATAAAATACCTTTTATAAAAATAAAAATACACACGAGTAACAGAGCTCCGTCGAGTATACGAAATATCCCATAACCTTGGAATAATGATAAGGAATCGAACAAAAAAAGTTTCATCAACATACATCAAGTAGATATTGTGATTTTTGCTACATACAAACAAACGATAGAGGAAGGGTTTGGAAGTTGAAACATTCTATGTAAAGTGACATTTTTGGCAACAATACTATTTATGTATATACATTTTAATCCTTTTCATTCAACGATTAAATACGCTCTAAAGAAAGTCTCCATTGATTTTCAGACCATTCGTTGATAAAAAATACCTGTTTTACTCATTTTTAGAGCTTACGCTATTTCAATACCCCTGTTTTTTTTATAAACTTTAAAATTCTCGATATTTGTAAAAGTTCATGTAGATTACATTATTGTGCCGTTATTAGTTTTGGTAAGCTTTTTATTTTTCATATTTTTTTCTACATTAAGTATATATCATTTTTTTAACGGTATACACTAGGTATCTACTTTCTATGTTATGTGCATTAATGTAACGAATATATTTCTATAGTTTCTTTTCGAGTCTTCAACAACTTGTTCACACATACCTACGAACAGTAGTAGTTGATTGCAGTAATAATATTAATTCGGACTTTTCACTTTTGTAACTTCCACCACTAGTTCAAAACATTTAGCTGCAGACGAAACCGCATTAAAAACTTTATTAAATATCTCACTGTTAGAGATATTATTATTCTCGTTCTCGTTATCTCTGAGCGTTTCTATCGTAGTGCACGTATCGTAAAAAGTAACGGCTGATAAAACACAATTTTTTTTTTTCTTACTACAATCGTATTATTATTACTACTTGTTGCTACAACACTGCAGGTTATTACCGTGCAGTATTTTAACCACGTTGGTTTAAATGTTTAAAAATTCGAGTGGACTATATTAATAAATAAGACTCAAATTTGAAATTACACCAATAACAGAATACTAGATCGCGAAATTACGAGGTTTTGGTAACCAGGTCAAGTACTGTACAAATGTGGTCATTATGCCCTGCAAAAATCGTTTACAAAAATCACTTCATCGGGTTTATACGTACGCTACAATTGTCATCGGATTCGTCCACGTATAATAATAGTATTTTCGATTAGAGGGATTTCATTTTTTTTTTTTTTTTTTCATACATATATACATGCAATAGGTATACAGCGACAATTTTCAAGAGTATTATTCGTGTTCCGGTCCCCGGATCGTTTGTTCTCTTATTATTGAATTTACTATGGTATATTATTATATAGAGAGGAGTTATTCCGTTTTCCACACCGCGGTCTTAAGTTTTATCTCGTGTAATTTGTTACTACCTTCCTACCTACCGACCTACTTATAGTTTCTTTGTATTAGGATGTGTTTCAGTATACATATACAATTTCCTGCTATTTCGTCCACCACCTCCTTTAAAGCCAATACAATTAAAGAAAAATCGTTTTTGCTGGTCGCTTTCGGGCCGATTTGTCCATTCGCTCGATTCCCCCGCGACGTACTTTACAGCGGTTCGCAGACGGTATGATATCCACTGCGCGTGTAATAGAGATAAAATGTACTTTTAATGACATTGGAGATTTTTTTTTTTTTTTTTTAATACGTATTTTTCTTATTCCTCACGAGTGCAACGACGGTAATTAATTAATCGCCATTATATTATACGGACGGCGAAGAACGTGACGATTCGCTATTAAAAATTTAAAATACCCTTTTTGTTCTCGTCACATTACAGTATCATACTCTCGTTTATAGACATTGTCTAATATACATAATAAAAACGATTTCTGTACAACCTGCTTGTTATATTGTAAAATATATAAACACCGATAAACAGAGGTAATTTCTTCTTATTATTTTCGTCCTGGTCTTCAACTCTATGCAGTATGTTATTACTTTCCTATAAAGCAGCAATATTTGTTTCGTCATTTCATCAATAAGCCTTTTTACTAAAGTTAATCGGTAGTGAATTTAAAAATATATTCTGCGACTTTCCCACCTCATCGCATTCAAATTTACAGTCATCTTTTATTCCCTTTTTTACTATATTATTATTACCTGATGTTCTTCCTGTCTCGGTCTTAGTCTATTTAGTGTTTTCCGTGGTAGATAACTCCCAGACAATCAAAATTATTTCGGATACTTGTACATCTGTAGATTGTGTATTTCCATTTGTAAATTTAATAGGCCTATTTTTAACTATTCGGATGCTTATGATAGACTGATAACTATCTTCATAACGATTTCCGATAGTCGACTTGAGTCGAATACCAATGAAGTTTTACCTTTATACATACACCTTAATTATTATTCTATGAACGTGTAATAGAATTCAAAATAAGCTGTCCTAGGATAATGGGGACGGGTGCAGCCACTGTTGTAGGTAGAACGATAAATTATTGCTAACGAAAAAACGATTCTGAGGGGAGTTCAGTTGATAGTAATGCTTTTTAAACAATATATGTACAATATAATATACATTTTATAGTAAAATAATTAAATAGACATTATTTGTTTATTTATTTATTTTATAACAATACAGGCCGAAGCCCAAAAAAACATTAAGTGAAATATATAAATATAATAATACAACAAAAAAAATGTTCAGATATTTAGTTAGAATTATTATAACAGTAATAAAGTATATCATAATACTCCTGGTGAAACATTCATTCATGTATTTATTTACGAGTATTAACCATTTTAATAATTTTATTTTTACTTTATTATTTTATTATTTAATAATATTTGTTTAATATTGATCCGATTTTTACTAATTTTTCACGTATACTGAAAAACTGAGAAAATTAAAAATTAACTCCCTAAAGTACCACCCTAAAATATTTCAGAAAAGGAAAAGGAAACATAATAATACATATCTTTGTAAAACCAATATATTTTTCGCTACACTCAGAATCTAAAATTAAATTTAGTGTTACAATATTACAATAGCATATTAAACACGATTAAAATTTAAAAACTATTTTGTTGTTAAAAGTTTAAATTTATGAAATTTTTAAAATGGTAACCAGCTGAACAAAAAAATAAAAGCCAAGTTAATTTTAATTTTGAACCTTTCATTTTTTTAATCAACTTAATTTATTTTTTATTTACATAAATAAATATCGAAAGATTTTAAATCGGGTTACAATATTTAAATAAGGATTTTTATAATTGAGACTACCGTACGTCCGTATTACCTACCTATTTAAGTTTAATTTGATATCCTTGAAATATACCCCCGTATTTAACATCATTCGTCCTAATTTTCAAAAAAATTTACCAAAATAAATTTGTTTAGCATGTTTTATTTGGTTTTTCGCTCAGCATTGATGGTTTTAATAATCGTACGGTAGTCGTGTCGGATGAAAAAGGCGCTTCGCATCACATAAATCACCGTGGATACCAAATTTTGAAAATAATTTTTGTACAAATGTATAAAAGGTGCCAACCCGAGATATTACCTTAACGGACAGAAATAAACTAAAAACCTTTGTCCGACGATTCCATTGTCGTAAAATATAATGCGTATAATGGTTTTACAACGAAAACGTTATAAACCGCATTGAAAGGAATAGACTCGCTCAGAGACGTTCGCCGTTCTTAGTAAATCAAGTTGACGGAAAATAACTTCACACAGTGAACGCGAGTTCTATAAAAATCAATTTGTACACATGTACGTATATTGTATATAAATCTATTAGTCGGAAAAATTTAGATAAATAATATTCGCAACGTTTTCATTATGGAAACAAAAAAAAAAATATAAAAAATAAATAAGTAGATACAAACAAATATAGTTAAAACAAAATTTATAACTATACAATATTAAACATTCTTTCGATGTGGGCATTTTTTAGGATTTCTGGAAAATGTGTTCGATGACTTCCATTCACAAGTTTCATCAATGTAACCAACTATAAACTAATCTCGGTTCTTCCGCATTTGTCTAAAGTTTTTGAATCTATTGTTTATTCATACGTAAAGAGACACCTGAATCGCATAATAATCGATCAGCAATACGGTTTTTTAGTCTGGTAAATTAACCTTTACCAGCAATGTTATTTTCACTTCTTATACATACCAATAAAAACCTTGCGTGATAAAGACCGGGAAAAAGTAATTTTTCAAATTTTAAGAAAGCCTTTAACACAGTAGATCATAACTTTTTGATAAATAGACAAAAAGCCCTTGGTCTTAGGAATCCTCTACATTCTCGGATTAACGCTTACATTGTATCTAGAATGCAAGTCATAAAGATTTGTGATACCGAGCCGTTCCTTGTTCCCTCTGAAGTATTTCAAGGTAGTTACTGAAGAGCCCTTTACTATTTATCTTCTTCATCAATTCAATCGGTAAATGGATAACTAATGCAGAATTTCTCCTATTTGCTGATAACAACAAAATTTGTTTGAGGATTAACTCTCAGTGGAGTACTATCTATAGCTGAGCTCGATATTTTTTACACTTGGGTAAAACGCTTTGGTTATCTCTTTCTCTATATAAATAATAATATTTGTAAGCATTCGTCCCCCTATATTGCATAGTTATTTCCTTAATGATACATTACTTAAGCGGGTATATTATGTAAAGGACTTTGAAGTTCTCTTTACCTCTTCTTTAAATTTTTAACAGCATACAAACATGTCATTTAGAGGAACTCTAACAGTTTTAGTGTTCTTTAACGAATTACTGTGTCTTTTATCTCCCCTAGTTGCTTTTGCACTCTGGTACGTTCCATCTTTGAATACAAGATAGTTATCTGGTCTCCTTACTTGGTCAAGGACCAATTAAGATTAGAGCGTGTTCAACATAGATTTCCGTTTTACGCCACGTTTATACTCAAGAATTCTCACGATTATTCCCTCATTCTAAGCAGCCTAAAAATACCTTTACTTTCTTCTCGATGTCTTGACGCTAATTTAGCCTTTATCACATCCTCTCTTTTAAATGGCTCATTGGATTTACACAACATGTTCTCCATAATTTATATTTGTATCCTATCTTAAGGTACTAGAGATTTCACGTCCCCACTCATTCTACGTCCTATGGATATAATTGACTACTTCACAGAATATTACGTTATAAAAATAGCTATATCAAATACATACTGCCCTAATTTGATTCTAAGACTTCACTTACCAATTATCAATACGTTAAATATGTATATTTGTCTTAGTTATATCTATATATTTTTCTCAAATTCCATTTCTTTTATCTTTACTGTGCCGTATGTATTTTTCCATTAGACATTAATTACTATAATTACTAAAATCAATACAAATATTTGTCTTATATTACATTTCGTCTCTCGTGTTCAAAACATTTGAGCCATTTTTGAGGTATTTATAGACATTTTAACTTTACGAGATTTTACGTAATTTTTATTTCTTAGATATTTTGTAGATAAAACTGTAAGACTAAACAGAAATACTTGGAAATTTGACATAAGTTATACATAATGGTCATACATGTCATATATCGAATAATATTTAACTTAATACAAATTAATACGATTATTTGCTAATAAATAATATAAGTATTACTTGCAAAATAATTCGATTGTTATTTTCCATAATTCTTTTGAATGTAATACTATTTAATAGAATTAATCTTTGAAATCGGTTCGTTAGTGTATTGTTTTATTCAATTTAACCATTGCATAATAATTTACAAACTTTTAAAAGACCTACTCTTAAATAATATTTTTTTCTTTAGAATAAAAAAACGGTTTTTTCTCTTGGGCCTATATGTCTTATCTTGTCATACACTTCAGACTTCTCATCGCCTCTATCTTTTACTTTCTAATCTAATTTCCCTTTTAGTTCTTACACATCCTTCATGATGAAATAATCACTACCCGGCTAATTCGGAAAATTTTCTGTGTTGTGTGTACCGCTTGGAAAACTTTCGATCAGTCATAAATCACTTCAAATATTAATTTATTAAGCATTTTAAATTTAAATGTTGATGAAAATCACGACATTTCAAATCATGTTTCACCGAATTTCGCTCAGAATCGTATTTCGTCAGCAACTATTAAAGTATCGTTGCGTACAAATATAAATTTAATTTCTTAATGTATCTTTTCTTACCAATTTACCAACTTACAACAGGTCACATTTGTCAGAAGTGTTAGCCTTTTTTTTAATTATTATTAATATAAACAAGAATTCAAGGGTAATTTTTTTCACGGACTGACTAGTTTAGTATTTATGGCTATACCTACCTAATTTGATTTTTGAGCATGTTATTCCTATTTCGAAATTATCCCGGGATGAATACTGTAGTTATTGTTTAGAGTTATTATAAGATGTCGTCACTCACGACCGTCCGATTTCTCTGGTTCATTTTACTTCTAGACCATATTTTATACGATATTGGCCCCTCTCCGTGGAACTGCACTGATTCAAAACCACTGGTATAGGTAATTCGTTCAGCGTTTCATTATTTTTGCTCTTCTTGTTTGTTTTCATCGGCACTATCTTTTGACGAGATCCTGATAATAATGAATTGTCGTTTTTGCCGACTCTCCGTCTTTGACACGACCCCGCGACGTTATTACCGCACGGTTCTTATTATTAATGCGTCTTGACCACCCTCGGACTGTCGGTATATACTATAAATAATAATTAAACTTTAAAATCAACGGTCGACATTGTGTTATTGTCTGGCGGGCGATATATATAATGAAATTCGTATCGGTTAGTATAGTCGTCCGTCCGTTTTGTTTCCGCGCTGTTTACCCTCCTGGAATAATACAAACCGTACACAGTCGTATCTTCTATACCTATATATAGGTTGGGTACTCATCAAACATGTACGCGGCACTGCGGTAGTGACCGAATCGCGAATTATATCGTATTATACATACCTATGTAATACTTCTGCAATTACTTAGCGAAACGATATTTTATTAAACGCGTCTTTTGCGTTGTTTTAATACAAAGAATTGCTTTTAACGTTTTGATATGCCTCCCCGCATTATCGTGATTTATGCATAATAATAATCCGAGGCCTCCAGTCATATATGTGTCTGGGGGGCCCCTCAGGTGCCAAGATTCATAAAATATCGTCATTGGACTATCTGACTGTCTTTTACGCCGAGATTAAACCTATAGTAACCACAGTATTTTTAGATTCTCAGTGGAACGAAAAAGCTTATAGTTTTATAAAAATAAATTAAATAAATTTATAAACAAAAAAATTATTCTTAAAAATAAAATTAATTATTTATTATTTAATACGTCATCTGGATTATTATTATAAGTGTATTATAATATGGTCTATACGATCGGTTTCGAATTAAAAATTCATCATCAGGTATATCACAATCAAAATATAAAACGCGACTCATATAATAACACTTATCATAATACTCCAGACGACGCGTTAATTAATTAATTTTATTTTTAAATTTACATTTTTTATTTATATATTTATTTACGAGTATTAACCATTTTAATAATTTTGTTTTTCCTTTATTATTTTATTATTTACAAAGATGTTTATTTTTTTTTTTTTATCTGTGTGCAACTTTTTTGAAGACTTGCTCAAATTTTTAAGTACAGCACCTTTTATCAAAAGAAATAGATGTAGAGAAGTACTTTTAGGATGTAATTTTTTGATTTTTTCAAGAGTTTTCTCATTAAATGTGAAAAACCGAAAGAAGAAAACGGGGAAAACTTAGGAAAATCGGTACAATATTAAAGAAAATATATATAACCCATTTAATTATTTTACTATGATATGACATATATTGTTGAAAAAAGTATCATTATCAACTGAACTCCACTCAAAATCGTTTTTTCGTAAGCAATAGTTTATAGTTGCTTGCAGGTATACATTAAATCATCTATAACAATGGCTGCATCCGTCCACATTATCCTAGGACGTCGTTTTAGATTTTAGTTGACTGTTGCAGACTGCAGTAAAATAATAAAACTTTATAATGTATAATTAATGATTGTATGAACGAGTCAATGAAAACTGAAATATCGTTGAAAATTACTTTTGTGAATATAACGTGTTCAATGTATATACGAGTGTTTATGTTGTTACAAAAACCATTGTTATTTTTAGAAATATTATCGACCAATGATATCGATTTCCGACCTAATATCGCATTGATTTTAATAGTCTTGCATCTTGTATTTTGCATCTTTGGTAAGCCTCATAAAACAAAATGCTCCTGCAGAAGCTTTTGGTGTGCCAAGCCGACACCGTGTGAAATAATAATAATAATAATAATATTATTATTAATGTTAGCGCGAACGCTTTCGGCTGTTATACGCGGAACCGTCTCTTACACACGCGTTTCTCCGGTGCACTCTCGGTTATATTTTTACGGGGTCGTAACAAAAAAAAAAAAAACAATAACAAAAACACGATGATAAACACACCGATATATTATATTATAATATTCGAAACGAGTTTTGAAAGTTTTTAGTAGCGAATAAAAGTAAAAAAAAAAAAAAAAAAACAATAACAAAAACACGATGATAAACACGCCGATATATTATATTATAATATTCGAAATGAGTTTTGAAAGTTTTTAGTAGCGAATAAAAGTAAAAAAAAAAAAAAATATTCCCTCTCGTCTACGTATAAATACATTATATATAGGTATATTATATTAGAAGGAAAACACTCCGCGAGATAATAATAATAATAATAATTATTATTATTATTATTATTTCGCGTTTCTCTTTCTCGGCGCACGGCCCATAACGAGTTTTCGAAATTCCTATCGTCGTCGTTATAATATAATATTATTATTATTATATATACTTAAACCGCGTTATGAAAATATAACACAGTCTCGCGGTGGTGGGTTTATATAGGTGAACACGCCAAAGGCTGTCGTCGTCTTCTTCTTCACCTATAAAACCTAGTGGTAGATGTAGCAGGTAGGTCGGTTAGGTGGTTTATACTTGTATAGCTTTATATATATATATATATAGTACGACAAAGAAACTCTATTATTATACTTAATATCTCTCTCTCTCTCTCTGGGCGCCTGTGGTTATTATATTATGTATCTCGTTAATATTATAACGCGATCGCGATGACTATATACGCGCGCGTATTATGTAGGCCGTAATTGTTTTTTCGTTCGGTTTTTTTTTTTTTTTTTTTTTTTTTATAATACGCAATAATAATAATAACGATAATAATAATATATAAGATATTCGCGAAAACGCCGCGGCCGCGGCTAACAAACTCAATTTCGCGCGATGATAATATCGATTTTATTCGCGTTCGAAACGAAAACGATACATACCCGCATACTCATATAGGCGCGCGCGGTACTTACCGGCAGCGGCGGCGAGAAAGAAAGTGGCGGAGGGATTATCGCGTTAAAATAAACAACAATACAAAGAAAATCAACATTTAATCGGTCGACTGCAAAACCCGTTGCATATTGACCATTATGATAATTTGTATAATTTGTTATTGATAACATATTGCACTATAAAATGTGTACGGCTTACATTAAAGATGTTGGATGGAAAACGTTAAATAGTAATTAACACTGAGTGTTAATTAAACAACGCGCACATATAGCGGTAATCGAATATACGGTACGTATACAATATAGGTACATAGATGATATACACATATTATTGTTATAATACATTAGAATGTCACACACGAAGATTTAAATGTACAATATTACAGTATTCTGTATAATATCCTGTGGTGTAACTATGTTTGTGCTGTACAGTATGAAAATATTTCTCATGAATATGCATTGTATAGGGTTTCTTGTCTATATAGTTTTAACAAAATATATTATAATTTAGTTAGTTATTCTTAATTTTAATTACTAAAATGATTTTTAACGCCTAACATTTGTAATTTATGTAAAAATTCAACCCAAGGGTAGGACTCGCCTTGCCCCATCACCTTGTGCACACCCTTATGTATATAGGTACTGCCTGCAAATATCAAATACCAATAAGAGATTAAACTGCTATGAGCGCTAGTGAGAATAGGTATATTCAGAACAATGATAAAAGCTTAACCAGTTTAGTGGTCACTTTTTCCTAGCTCGTTGGGCATTTATACCATCTCAATTCGTGACATAAACCAACTATAGTGTGAAAAGAAATCCAAAGAGCGATGGTATAGAGCAGCGGTTCTCAATCTTTTTTAGGACCACGACTATATTTCAGCAAAATTGCTGGTAGAAAACTTGTTCAAAGATAAAAACAAAATTAACATAATTTTAAAACCAATACATTTCTCGCTCCGCTAAGAAAACTTAAATTTCTTAGAGTCTATATACCTAATTCAAATTAAAGTCGTTTAGTATATTTTGGACTAGACATTTTGTTATTACAGCCAGGTTTAAAAAAAAAAAAATTGCATGTGGTCCAGAATGAAAGGTCAAAAGTTATAAATAAAAGTTGTCGAATAAATTATTCCAATCTGGTTTTCAACAACGTATACTGAATCCAACTATATAACTTTGTTTGTATTGCAACAAATACAGATAAGAACTTAGTTCAACATAACACATAGTTCATATTATTTTATTACATGGAATGCGTCGAATAAAGAATTCACTATGTAAGATGATATTAATCGTTTAAATCATTTCAAAATTAATAACTTTGCCTTTATTTATTTATATCATTACATACTATAAATATTTAATAATTATTGTTTATCTCGTGACATTAAAAATATATGAATCAAAATGGCGTAATTTAGCAACTTAACAAACAATTGTTTCGGTTATTGCACAAGTTCACATCTTTTAATCATGTATATTCCACCATTATCTGCCTAACAATATTATAGGTGCACACACATAATAATTTACACGTTTTATAACGAACACGTAACATATAATATACCAGTACCGCGTTAAAAAAAAAAACGTGCCTTTTTTGTGTCGTTCTCTCTCCAATTATGCAGCAATACATAATATTATTATCATATTGGTATGTCCGCAGTATCCAAAGCCAAGATCATCGGTAACACGGAAATGTACATCCGGAGTGGGAGTGACATAAACTTGACGTGCGTGGTGCTGGAAACACCGGACCCGCCCAGCTTCATCTACTGGTACCGGGACCGTGACGTCATCAACTATTCGGGACGCGGTGGCATTAGCGTGGTGACCGAGAAACAGACCAGGACTAGCCGGCTACTGATATCCAAAGCTCAACCACCAGACACAGGCAACTACACGTGTGCCCCGTCCGCCTCGGACTCAGCTAGCGTCACCGTGCACGTCCTCAACGGTTAGTATTTACACATTTTTAAAAATAAACTTTTAAATTGGTTTTTGAATAAGCTGCACACCAGGGACACGCTATAAAAAATGATATCGCAGAGGTACTCCTATTTATAAATATTGACTATTTAGAAACATAATTGTACATGTTGGCTAGGGTTGCCATAAAAGTCTAAGTACTGGCCGAAACGTTTATCAATTTTCATTAATCATCAGTAAAAATTTGTCCATTTTTATTTTACGTAGCGTAAATAAATTAACAAAGTGTTTTATTTTACAGTTAAGTAATCCAATAATAACATTAATAAAATGGTTACTTTTCCATTTAGATCTAAATTTTTATTTTATTCTTCCGTGGAATTTAATTTTTTTTCCATGACATAACCCAAGCTCTTATTAGTCTTATGTTATATCTCGTTATATAGTAGTAGGCAATGTGGGAGAGGGTGAGGTGAAGGAGGGATGGAAAGTGGTGCGTTCCCTAATAATATTGATATTATGATGAAAATTAGGTATGAAATCAAAGATAGGTGCGAGAAAAAACATTTTCGAATAATTTCTTATCAACATGTTTCCTTATTATAAAAAAGTCCGGGGATATTTTCCCGGGCCTTTTCTCTTCGCTTAATCACTATAAATCTAAAGTTTTTTCTTTGTCGTCTAATTACTCTACTCACTCACTGTTTGTCTTTATCATAACTGATAATGGTGTAACACGACCTCAGTATGGACTTTGGCACCGCCGGTATATGTAAAGGAAGCTAGGAAGTGTTCTTCAAATATAAATCATACAACTCCTTCAAAAATCTGTTGAAATATTGTTCGCTTTATATATTAGGAATTTTTGTTTGTAAAGAATTTTATAACAATTTTTTTTTTCTGAAAAATAAAATAACCCAATTTTTTTTCTCCACAAACGCATTGTACAAGTTAAAAGTGAAATTGCTCCTTTTGAAACTAAATTGAAAACGTATAATTTTTTTTTATTTTAAAGAAAATATATAGCACAAACGATTCGATGATTCTAAACGTATTTTCGTTTTCGGTATATCATGTCGACTTTTGATCGTTGTCTGTTTTTTTTTTTCTTTTACGCTATCATGTACATATAATATCATGCCGGACGTCCATCTGTGGTTTCCGTTTCCTCGGTTTATATATTATTATTACAACTGTTACGATCTAAAAGACATTCCAACGATGGCAGTAAAATATTATATCGATCGGCCGATAGTATAAATATAAATCTCCGGAAAACAAACGTATCGGTCGTCGTATAGTTTACCGGGACATCTCTAAACCTCATCCTGATAACGATCGGTTTTATAGTCGACAAAAACAACGTTGAAACGATAATATATTTTTATTTTACTCTAATTTGCATGGTTGATGGACAGATGAACGGATAATTTAAAAACTTATAAGTTTCGAATCACGGGCAAGCTACCGTAATTTACAGTAATATTACTGTAAAAACTGTTTTCGCGGAAAAAAACCTATTCGGGCTATAAACATAAAAAATCAAATTTTCATCTTAGAATGAGAGAACTTGCGCTGTGTAATGTTGATTTAATTTTTCGTTATTATAATAAAAAATCTAGCAAAGAATGTGTTTTATCGGTTTATATCGGCATCTGTCAGAATCAATTCAATTGACATATTCCTACATATAATTATATATGTATAATACAATTAACAAATTAACTAATATCTATATATTAGGTTGGTTCAAAAAAATTTAATTACGAAATTCAAAATCTCGTTTATTTTAAGTAAATAATAAAAAAGATTTCGTGAATATTTTGACTCGATAATTTACCACCTTCCCATGTGGAAAAAAGATTAAATCATAACTCAAAATGATTGTTTCTAATTAATATCAATTTAAAATGAAAGTGCATGTCTATCGTTTCCGGTCGATCATATGTGAACTGGAAGACATTTTCGTTTATTGTGTCATGTCGGTTTTGTGTCGTGTCGTGCCCGTATAAGTGTGAATCAGGCTTTATATTAAAACATCACTCGAATGAAGAATTTAAACGCGTGCTCTGACGAAATCTCTGCAGAAACGATATATCGTCTCATCGGATTCGGAAAACCTGCGCAGTTTGGCAGTAAAATTTCGATGGAAAATGTATTTTAGCCGATTTTTTTTGCTCTCGATTTTCAGATATTACTCTGGACGTGTTCGCGAGCGAAAAAAAAACCGACCCCTTTAAAGTACCCACCTATATATTATGTAGTACCGTCTGCACGTTCAATATCGTAATCTATCTGGAAAAAAAAAATGAAACTTTTCACGAATTTATTGCGTCGTCTTTCCGTATATAATGCCGCAGTTTTCTACGAGGAAAGAAACAAAGCGCACAAATTGCACAAACGCATTTGGATGTTCGGACTTTAGGTATAATAGGAAGATCGAATATCGAGAGTGGAAATCGATCGTGACCCGTAATAACTATTATACCCGCGCCTATACCCTTCTTCTTCTTCCGCACGAATAAAAAATAAATATAGGTACAAAAAAAAAAAAAAACACGTTTTTCAAGGTGATTTTACGCGAGGCGATTTTCCCGCGGGATGGGAGCAAAAAAAAAAAAAACGATATCGTTTGTCAGAGGTAGCCGAGAGGAACGGGTGAAAACCTCTGGCGGTTTTTACGCGCGGATTTCTGGCGCTTTTTTCGGACGCGCGTGTTAACGAGGCGACAAAAACAAAATAATAATAATAACACGAGTAATTATCCCATCGGTAATAATAATAATTCGATGTTATGTCATATACGACCGCGCGGCCACCTGTACGATTCCCGGGGGGTTATATCCATTTTTTGTCGTTGGTTTGTTGGTTTTTTCCTCTGTATAATTTCAACAATAGTTATTGTTTTACAGTGTTGTAATAACTCGGTGTAACTACGTTATTCGCGCGCGGAATACTATTTTATGTACCGGTCAGCCGTCACAAAACGGCGGTGCAACTCGTTTACGCGCAGAAGAAAATATCGAGTATTCCTTAATTTCTCGACCGGATATAGTTATCAGAAAATTGATACGCGACTAAACACGATATTTTTCTGCCGCCGACTGTTTCCATTTCAAATTATGACCCGTAACATGGCATTAAATGCTATAATTAGATAGAACTGGACCGGATACGGATAGAACTCCGAATAAACTTTGAGTACCTTATATTTCTAGAAAAACTTTTTTTTCAGGTATAAAAATACTTTGATTTGTTTACACGTTACTTTAAAATATGCCCGATTTTTAACCTATTATGGTAATTGATTTAAAATATTTTTTGACATTCCTATCAGTTAACAAATAATGCATGATCACGCTACCTTCAATTTTACCATTCGAACAGAACGATTGAGAACACTTGAAATTCACAAAGGCCTCAACGCTAACTTAAATAACTAATACGCTTAAAAACGAATTTTCGTGCAACGTTGCCGTTATTATTTATGTAATTAGTGTTTATTGTAAACAAGGACCTCTTTGATAAGAACATACCGCCATTTTGTCGGCTTTACTAATGACACCAAGTCAGCAAACCTATTTAATTGTTTATACATTATTATTATTATTATCCGTAGTTTCAACTATTAATGTCCGCGGTCTAGGCGTATTAGTCTCAGGGGCGTCATTTGAGAGATTCAGATTATAATTCGGCAGCTCTGTTTTTCGTTAATGTGTTTTCGGCCCGCGTAAAATGTTATTTAATTGCACCGCCGTCGATTGAATGTAAAGAAAGAAATATGTCTGTACATGGTATTTGAATACTAAAATGTAAAATAGGAATTTGAACTGTCGAAACAATCGAACATTTTATTTTTCTTTTCCGTGAAATAAATAAGATATACAAATGGCCTGTTAGTGAAAAAGAAATTGGCCCGATTCAAATGTTTGCGCGTCGTCCCTATTGGAAAACTGAAATGACGCCCTTGGACAACAGTCTCTACAACTATGTGTCTAGCACCGACCGCCCCTTACCATTATACGCGTCGTGTTCGTCGACGAATTTTTTTTTATTATCTTTGTTTTTTTTTTTTTTGCGTCACCCGAACAGGCGAACACCCGGCGGCCATGCAACACGGCAACAGCAGCAACAGCGCCGTGACTCGACTGCTGCCCATCTTCCTGTTGTTCGTGTGCCACTCCATTCAGGTGCTGTTGGTCACCGACGTGTACGCGCCCGTCCGCTCCGTCAAGCTGACCGCCAGATGAACGACGCGCGCGGTGTCCACCACTTTCCGCGGGCCGCGTCGACGTCACCGTCACCGTCGCGCGTAAACGTTGTCGGTCGATTTTATCACGACAACAATATTATTTTGTTGTCCGATCGATATTTCCACCTCCGCCGCCGCTAACCGAACGCACAATATCCGGAATCCGGTATGTTTTTTCGGGGCCGGCGTGGAAACGGATTCCCGTTACTATTAATATAATCCTTCTTACGATATAAAATTACGTCTCCTCTAATAATTATGATACGTTATAATATTATGTGAGTAAACTCTTATCTTACTATAATATTATACTCTTACCGCGAAAATCGTAAATACATTTCAAAAGAAAAAAATCGAGGACGGCGGACTATAAGGTGTCTATAACAAACACACATCGGCGACGACGACGCGACGAATGAATAATAAAATACGCGTGTTTGTAAATATTTTAATCGATTATTTTTTTTTTTTTCATCGTTCCGTTTCTCTATAATAATATTATTATATTATACCGCCGCTTCGTGGACGGGGTAAATACGAAACATTATAGATATAATCTGTACGATTTGGGTAAAAAAAAAAAAAAAACCGTATGTATTACTATTACATAATATATATTTTCTATGTTTACACCGCGTTCGTCGTTTTCTTATTGTGTACAGTGAAATCCTATGTATTATTGTTATGATAAATTTATCATAGGCGGAGATTTAGGATTGGGAGATAGAGGAGGTCTATCCTTCCAAATTCATTCAAAGCTCCCACCTAAAATTCGTATTTTATGTATGTATATATATATATAATACGCCTTAATACATAAGGCTGTTTTAGTGTCCCACCCCCACTCGGCAAAAATGTATCGCATCTCTTCCTATGATATTAATACTTATAAATAATTTATAAAAAAAAAAAATATTATATGTGTATAGTTAAAAAAATGTTATTGATTTTCGGTTTTTGTTTTTTGAGTTTTGTCTGTTGTTTTTTTTTTTCGTTCGATCGTTACTATGTCCTATCAAAAATATACACCCAATGCGATCTCTCGTAAAGTATTATCTTTTTCCGGGCTTTTTTTTAAAAAAAAATTTACAAAACAAGCAGCTCTAAATTGTTACATTATTTATTATCGCCTGATTTTCGGGGGAGAAACGACTGCCTACTTCTTTTGGATTTTCGAATAGTAACCTATACTGAAAATTCTATAAATATTGGTATTTAACTTTTAAATTTGAAAAGGGGGGGCAGTAATAGAGACACACTACTTTGGGTATAAATACAAACACTCTAATTTCAAATAAAAATATTTCGTCAACGAGTTAATAACGGGTTAAAGTTCGTAAAAATTTTAATATCAAAATGCAATTTAAATCCGTATACTATTATACTATAGTGTTATACTCCAGGTTTTGTTATTTTAAAATGGGAAGTAATTGTTTCACGCTCAAAAATAAGAGTGATAGAAAATAATGGAACGCACATTTCAGAGCTACTTGTTTCTTAAATTATACTAAAAAAAAAAAAAAAAAAAAAAAAAAAAAAAATATTCCGAAAAATCTTAATACTAACCGAGATATCGCAATGGTTATATCTTCGTAGGACAACCTGTATTATTATGATTATTACTGTTATTATTATTGTATTTACTTACCGATTTTAGATCGTGTTGCGTATACTATACTATAGCGTTGTAAATCGTTTGTTTTGTGTAAAATAAAAAATCACTTTCGGTCATAGTTATACCTATGTCGGAACATCATTAAAATATTAAATTGTCACCGCGTTTTTGTACATAGATTATAATTATCATAAACATAACCATGTTTCAACAGGAATATTTTGTTCTGTTTTTTTTTTTCTGTCTCAATCAAATCGTGTAATTCGTATAATAAACGTTTAATTATATATAATAATACTATATTATATATATATATATATATATATAAAAACACCATATGCTGTTATTAGTTATCAAAAAAAAAAAAATCCTACTGCAAACTTGAAGATTTTATATTATTATTTCTCTGTCAAGTATAATGCTTATCACTAAGTACCATAACATCAAATAATAAAAACAATCAGAAAAACGATTATAACAATCAAAAACCTATAACCAAAGATAATATCGTATAAGACTATCATAGATAGCTGACTTTGAGTAAATATGATGCTTAACAACCGTATACCCAGAGGCAAAATTCAATTGATTAACTCATGAACTATGTCTGTAGAATGGAAATGGTAAAAATTCACCCCCCATGTTCCGAATATCTATATGTGTGTGGTGTTGTTATTGGATTTTAGTGTTTTTACAATTATTTAAAAAAAAAAATTGTTCGTGAAGTAGATAATGATAATTGATAACATGGTCGAATCCATAGATACTAAAATATGTATGTTATCTATGGTAGGGTGTTATCATTTAGTTTTGGTTGTTCGACGGTTATCTCCTATCTTTGATTTCTAATTACAAAATAAATGTGCTTGGATTGCTTATGCATGTTTACCCCAGAAAATAATTATACCAGTGGATGATGTCATTGAAAGATTCTCTTCTATGAAAAAACGGACGTTTGACTTTATATTATAAATTTATAATTTGCATTTCAATATTATATTTAATGAAATACAAATTTCTTATTTTATTCATTAAAATGTTATATTTAACAAGTATAAAAAAGTCCAATATCTGTGACGTGGCTGTAACGTTACTTTTTTAATGAATAGTATTATTAATATACGATCTAAGTAAAAACGTCTGACGAAAAAATGTCGGAAAAATAAAAAAATAAAATAAAAGTTTTTATCTACGAGTAAATTAATTTTGTATATTTTAATATTTTAGCTCACTAGCAATACTTTGCTATTGCTAGATATTTCCGTTACTGAATCATTATGTATTATTGTCTTGCCCACGTGTTTTCACTTACTATCGTAGATACCCGCATGGCATAATTAATTAATAAACGCCTTTTCATCCGTTTTACCAAAATTAACCCGTAAATCGACAAAAATAATTAGATTTTTATACTGATAATACCTTAAAATTCGAATTTTAAATGTTGGTATTCGATAGGGATGGATTTTAATAGCTATAAGCATTCACCAGACATAATTTTACTAATAAAATAAAAAGTAATTTTTTTAAATTTTTTTAACAAAAAAAAATTAATTAAAATATAAATATTTGTAGTTCTCATTCTTGTGAATAATATAAAAAACAGAATTTGATTATCTTTATTATCTCCAACGATATTCAAGGGGTATATCTTCGTGGGATAGCCTGTATATTGAATACAATGTAAATACAAAGTAAATACATATTGTTACCTACCAGACATGGGTTTGTAAAATACATTTTTCGGAACTCAGGTTTGAACTTGCGATCTCTGGTATGGCAACAGGTACTTGCTAATACATAGTATGTTTAGACAAAAAAATTAAAAACTTTTTGTGGACAAAATTTGATATTAAAATTCCTTTATAAAAAAAATACACTATTACATTAAGCTCATTTTTTTTTACCACAAAGTACGACTTTTAATGAATCTCCAGTTAAATTTTCAATAATTTCTTTTTAGTTCAACGATTTTACCACAGACTACCTAACGAATAAAAATTACTTATAAAACTCACAACTAACTGAATTACAATAACAAACAAAATTAGTAATAATAGGAAAGCTTTATTTTCGTAAATTTCTTTCTTACGTTTTATCCCGGATTTTTCAGATATTATGAAATGACTTCCCTAAAAAATATTTCCTTTCAAAATTAATGCAACACTTACATATCATAGTAAGATTTCTGATACACAAACAAACATCACTTCGCTACACTCAAAATCTAAAAATGAGATTATATAAATATTAATACAATTTTATCGGCGTGTCCGAGTTGGATCCCGGTTTAACCGTAAAAAATGACCACCTTGATATTTAAACCCACCCCTACCAAGTTTTTAATACGGAGTAGGTAAAATATGATAGGAGTTAATAATCACTGCACACCACTTACCAATTAGGTTTATGCAGATATTTTCCCTTATGAATCTGCGATAATACCAATTTTCAATTAATTTTTCCACAAAAATATATTTTTTCCTCTGCGTTATAAGAATTTGCGTTTCATAATGTTTTCAAACGAATCATGCCGATCGGATTTTTCTTTAGATATGTAATATCATCTTCTACGAACGCGACGTATAACATATATTTCATCCCGAGAAACGTTTTTTCTTTTAGGTTATAAAACCTAAAAAAAAAAACATTAAACATATAAATATTTATTGGCTTAAAAAAATATAGGTACTACGCGTGTGTATATAAACCTGGAACAACGCCCGAAGAGTGAGCTTTTTCTCAACACTTTTTTTCGCCCTCGTATAAACGATCAAATTTTATGAAATTTACTATCTCCGTTTGCACAGATCAAACGATAAAATAATATTATAACGCTAGCTGTTTTCAATCAGAAAAATATGTTTGATCGGCTGATACCGAATTGGTTCCCGTGCTCATACCTTACACGTCGAATTGGCTGCCGTTTGAAGAAGGGACTTTACGAAGGTGAGCTTATACAATAAATACATTATTACATGATTCAAATATTTAAAGAAAATTTGTTTCAGGTTATCACCTCGATTACCATAGTTCCGTAATATTATTATTTTAATCAATATAAGTGATGACTTGTTGGCTTCGATTTCAAACGTTTAAAATAATTTTCTTTTTAATCATTACTACTATTTGACGTAATGACTTTATTTAACGCACATTTTTTATCGTGCCTACGTTACTTCTAAGTTGACAGTCCTAACCAATTCGATCAGTAGAGGATAACATCACAAAATTAATCGGCAACCGATTCGGCTACACCCGTCGTTTATTTATAATAACTAAACGCGTCGGCGTCGGCGAAATGTTCATTATTATAATAAACGTATTTGCTTATAAATGTATTTCAATTGACAAAATAGCACAACTCCTTTAAACGATATTTCATTTTTACGAACCATAATAATACGTCAACAGTAAAAACGGAAAACATCCGAGTTCCCCCATGTCTGTATTTTACAATGTTGACACTGGCCCCCCCCCCCAACAATACATGTCCGTCCCTCCTTCATATAAGCAAAACATATCCGTGATTGAAACAAGTGAATTTAGATACAATATAATCATTATAGTTGTTTCTAAAAGTAAAATAAAAAGTTAATCGTATAAATGTATACATTTTTACTTCTGGCCGAAACGAGAGATCTATTGGTTATTCTGTGTGTTTTTTTTCGTTCTGTAAACAACTTTTCTACCAGAAATATTGATTTAATCAAAAAAAGCCAAGTAACCATTTTTGTAGCATTTTGTATATAATTTTTGAGTAAATAATTCATTTTTTTTTCCTAGCAGTTTTCATAATAATTAAAAAAAAGATACAGTCAAAAAAAGAAAAATGACAAATTTACGGTGTATGATTTAATTATTTTAAATTTTTACGATATTATTTTACATTAAAAATATAGCTCCAATCGAAAAATGACAAGAGAACAGAGGATGCCGTTATAGTAGCGCGCTGGTCCTATTACAATCGGTGACCGTGTAACACAATGGCGTACTCAAGAAGTGGGGATCTAAAGAGCTGAAGCCCCCCCCCCCCATTAACCTATTTCTATATATATATATATACATACATATTTGTTTATATTTTTCAAGTTTCAACTGTAACAATAAATAGTAAATAAGGACTTTTTTTCATACAATAAGCTATTTTCTATTTTCTCTCATCGTCACTTTTGGTGACTATGTTGGTTTTAAGTATGGTTTTCTTTGACATGGTTTAAAAGTATTTTTGAATTTCAGAAATTCAGATGATTTTCTACAGACTAAGTACAAACAAGCTAAAATAATCTAGTTTCAAAAAAAAAAAAACGATCTCTTGTCGTTTTTCGATAGGAGTAATATTTCTAGTTGAAAACATGATTCGTACAAATGTTAAATAATTAAATCGTAAACCGTCAATTTGTTCGTTTTCATGGTTTCATGGTTGGTGCGACCGAGCACAATATTTTCTATTCAAAAAATTAATTACAGAGACCGAAAAAATGAACAAAAAGAAAATAACATCATAATAGACTTAATAGATCCCCCGCTACGCTTTAAATCTAAAAATATTCATTTTTTATACACGAAATATAACGATAAAATAATATTTATATTATATAGCTACTTAACTAAGCCTACTTATCAAAAAAATTGTAATTTTTAGTCAACATTCGGTTGATCAGTTTTTAAAAACCGATAATCATCATTGGCCGGTAACGGTTTAAATTATAACCGCAGAGGCCCTAGAAAATTCGGGAAATTCGTCCGTTCCCAACTCGATTTCTTTATACAAACAATAAAGATGACGTGCGTTTTTTATGCACGAATATTTTGATATTTTTACGAGTACGTGTTTCAGTAATAATAATCATAACATAGACACACATACATACACACCGTTTAATTTATGATGACGTTATATAGAGAACGTGACTGATAAGACAAGTAGCTATAAGGACGGTGGCCAGATAACTTTTCAATATATCCGCTCAAAAGATACACACACGTGGCTCGGGGTGTAAAAACTTTAACGTTTTATTGGCTTAAAACTTTTGGCGACGGCAAACCGTGAATACTAACTTCGTGCCCTCCTCCCTCTCTTCCTTCCCCACTTGGTCGTGAACTCTTCAAATCTGCTGTTGCGGGACATGACTTCACAAATTAGATACGATGGTGTGCGGCCATATCGAGTATTTGATTTAGCAACGTCCGAAATACCGCTTTTTTCTGGTCGTTTGATTTTTGAATCACTATTTAATAAATATTGTCAATGGTGATT